ATGACCAGAAAGATGTTGTCCACAGTGATGTCCAGGGAAGGGGACGCCGTGGGGTTTGGCAGGCCTATCAACCTACACCTCACTTATTCGTTCCAGAACAAACCGCCATTCGTCCCTATAGGTAATTTGACATAAACAAAATCCAATGAAACCTAAAAATGACAATTTCCACCATCACTATAGACCCACTATCGCCGGCTGACTCGGCCGCTACGACCAGCCACGAAGATGATTTCTTGACAATCCGTAATCCTCAAAAATAAATAATTTAGTCTAGTCTAGTCTGCTTTGTGAGTGAACATACGCGGAAGTTTGAATCGTCAAGCTGTCCCGTACAGTACCGTGCAAAAGTTCCGTGTCGCAAACTTATCTGTCATACCGCAGTGTCACTTTAAATAAAACCATGAACAAGTTTTACCCAGAGAGACGTTTACTGACATTTCTTAGAATCGAAATCGCAGATAATCAAAATAAATTAATTACGCGTTCATCGAATATGGTTCCAAACTCTCCAGCATCTAATATACACTATCCTACTCTATCCTACTGATGTCATACACTATTAGTTTACTCTGGATTGGTTTTTGCTTGGTATCATATGGCTGTCTCGTTCGTGCTCTTTAGTTCATCGATGTTGCCATACCTAATACGCCGTACCCTATTGATCTAGAAAGCAGTTGATCAAAAGTCAATTTTCCTCACGAAAAAGTCAAAAACATAATTATATGTTTGTTTGAGCAGATTCGAAAAAAGCGAATCAACTAACTAAAAAGTGGAACAAAAATCAATGTATCTGACAGTACTGAATAGAAGTCAATTGAAAATTTAAAATGGCGTCGCTAATTCCCTCTTTGGCCACCGGGTCATTTCGATTCAGATAAGTTTGTGGCACTATTAGCTGTGCTTATGGCTGATAAAAGGGACGTAGTCAGGAGGCTAAAACTGACCGATGATTGAGCAGCACTTACATCGAATCTCCAAAACACCCTTCTCATACATACTTCTCGATTTTTACAGACGGTACCTCTTTCACCGACTCTTCAATGGATGAGCTTTCTGAAGATTCTTCGATCCACTGCATGCAGAGTGAAGTCTGAAGTCAAGTTGTCGTGACGTATTCAAGAATCGTCTTTGTATAGTAGTCTTAAGAATTATCTTTTTTTTATGTCTATTTTTGGAATTAGAAAAGTTTAAACTGAGTAAAAGTTTACAAATTGTTATTCTAAAAATAAATTAGTCTTTTAGTCATTTTGTATAATAATTATTTTGTCAGTTGTTTTCTAATGGTAACTTATGCAATAGTTCAATAGCTAGTGACATCTATTGGTTATCTATAAAACTATTTCATGAAGTGAAACCTTCAAGTCTCGTTTTCTAAACAACAAACATAATCAACGTAAATAAGTTATAAATTAACGGCATTCACACTGCAATGGCAATTATAATTTTTAACATTAATTTGATACATAAATAAAATGATAAATTTCATAAAACAGTTTACAATCTTATCCACGATCCCTGCTATAAATTTGTTTTTTCTAACCTTTTCCTTGCCGGTAATGTTAGTCGAAATGTGTTGAAAATATGAAAGAATGACTGGTCTTCATAATATCTCTCATATATCAGGATTCAATTAATTAGTCAATTCAATTGCAATTATAATCTAAATTCAATTCTATAAAACATATCTTATTGAGTTTGAATATTATTTTATTATTTATTTAACAGGAATGTGCATAATTCTATGCAAGAATCGAAATGTATTATAAAAAATTGAAAGAGAAATGCTTTTGTTAATAAATTTCATTGTAAATACATGCCATATAATATAAATTATTATTAGTAAGTTGTATTATGTAAAGATAGATTTTAAAACATTTGTTTTTTTAAATTATTTTAATTTAGTTTACTTGTATTTTTTTATTACACAGTGTGAGCTGAAAATGAGAATTTTAAATTCTATGTAACTGAATCCACTGTAAATATTGTTACCGAAAAATATTCTCAAAGTCTGAGGACACTTTCTACGGAGCGACTTACAATGCATTGTAATCACTCTCTGTTTAGCTTCACATTTTATAAACGTACGGAATCCATGGAAGTAGGCCGGGTCCATCATGATCCTGCTTATATACATCTCCCGCAAACAAATGTTCTTATTCGATTCACCCTGACAATGATTACTGTGATTATCACAAAGCTATTGAGAAAACGACATCATCTCTCAAGATGACGAAGACAATTAGTGGTGAGGTCTAAGAGGTTCTCGTGTACCTACGTACACCTGCTAAACATTGTTACATTGCTTGTTTACGAATCTAAAGTCACAGCTTACAGTTTACAGCATCAGACAAAATATTATAAATGGCAATAAACAAAAAAAAAACAATAAGTACATTCACTAATGTTAGACTTGGGTTGTTTTAAATATTTTTATTATTTTGATAATGTTATATTAATTTATGTACGTAAAAAAAGTAATATAATTTACCTCTTCTATTTACTGTAAGATTTAAATATATTTTACAACATTTTGACGGTAGGCAGCGGCTTGGCTCTGCCCCTGGCATTGCTGAAGTCCATGGGCGACGGTAACCACTCACCATCAGGTGGGCCGTATGCTCGTCTGCCTACAAGGGCAATAAAAAAAAATAAAAAAAAATAAGAGTTGAAAGTATTTGTTGGAATATTAGAGAAGATTAGTTAATTAATAATCTTTTCAGTAATATCCCCTTGCAATATAATTGTATCAATCAACATAACTCAAGATGTTTTATAGTTTAGTCTTGTGCTTAGTCTATTTATTTTCATTTTCAATTTGTATTTTTTACGATTTTCGTGCCCAAACCCTAAAGAAAACACCCCCATTTTAGAATATTTAATTGTTTTTTTAAGTATGAATTTATTTCATATAGACTCGACTGGATTCTAATCATTTAGTCCTTTTATAGCAAATTAATAAAAAATATGGGAGCCTGAATCAATCACTTGCTTGTGGCTTCGAGGACGGTTATTTTATACGTAAAAAACCCCTTATCTGTATTTTAACGATGCTATATCATAGAATCAGGTGCGAGTAGCTAGCTACAACTGTTATCTAAAACTTCATCGCTCAACTGGATGGTCTGCGCATACATATCTTAACCAAAATAACGTTTCGCGTTCCTGCAGCAAGCTCCTGGAAGTAAATTGGTAATATACAGATAATTATATGTGACTAATTACAAAACGATGTTAACATAGTAGTGAAATACACACCTTTCACACACATTTCAATTTTAACATTAAGTTCATTCTTCAAGCAATTAAGTACGAGTAATATCGTAGGTATAAGTACATAAAGGAATGAACATAAATACGATTAAATCCTCTTTATAATATTAATTGAAAATACTGGATTGAAACTTATCAATTGGTGTCTGTCTGTCTTTTTACTAATTTGCTACGTAACAAATCGTAATTAATATCAACATATCTTATAAATTTCATAATAATGTTAATAAAATTATCATTTGAACGAAAATGATTGTCTAAATTCTAAACTGTAGGTAAAACGCTAGTTTAGCAATTTAGATCCTAAATTTAAGTCAAACAAATGACCTCTGCTTTTCAGCAATTTGTATTTGTATATTTGAGAATAAAATTGATTTTTGTACTAAAAGTATTAGTTGGAAGAACTAGCCTACTCCTAATTTAAAGCTATTAATAAATCGTTTTTTTAATTAAGTCTTTAGACGACTAGAAATACGAATCTGTAAGAATTGATAAATCGGAAATTGAACGATACTCATATTTGTACAGATCTACGAAAACAAAAAACAAAATGTAGTTTCTATTTATAACCGATTTTAAATTAAAAAGTGCATTGTAATTTGTTTTCCATACGTGTAATTTTTGAAATAGTAAACTTATTATATTTAAACAAGCATTCTTAAAAACCTAACGAGCAGCTTCAGGTGTTGCGGATAGCATACACTACGCATTGTCCTCAATAGGACCATTACCTAGATACAATAGGGAAGATTGTGTTTTTTCCACCTATTTCTAAACCCAGACTTATATACTCTTATAGCTCACTCGTGTATTAGAAAATGATCTATATTTTGTATTATTTCTTCATGTATGAGATATGTAGTTTCCAAATAAATGATGGCAATAAGATATTACTCAGTTATATTCATTAAGCTCTTCATACAAAATAAAATAATTTAGAGGTTCATTTGAAGAAAATTGTTTTGAATCCTCAGGCTCAGTATCGAAAAGTAAAATTATAAAGTCTTTATTAATACCACTGTAAATAAAACATTTTGTAATTTATTATAGCATCGATTTATTTATATCAGTAATATAAAGACGAAAATGTTGATTCGTCACCTTATCTAACTAGACAATTAAGTTTATTTCTAAACAAATTATTAAATATATTATGTTGGTTAAAATTGCGGTTTTTATTTTACGTTAATTCACATTAAACATAACATTATATCACCACACTGTTCCTAGTTCGAAAATGTATTGGGTTACCCTGTTATACCGAATAAGAAAATGGCGTAGATTAGACACATCTATGGAGAGTAGAATAGAAAGTTGCATTAGAGTATCGTAAACTCGTATTTAAACCTGGAAAATACCTGGACAGAATGATTCAGACTCGAGAATTCCGCATAGTGAATTTATCCTTAACATCGTTTCGTAGTTTCTTTCGTTCAGTGAATCTCTGTTCAGTACAAATTCAAACTTTTTTGCTGACAGTAAAATGAAATGAAAAATTTCATTAAAACTTTAATTCCCTCATATTTCTTTAAGCTTAGAATCGAGAATAGTAGTTATAAAAGACAAATAGATTTGACTTGAAATAAAACGTGTATTTAAAATTGAATTCAATAAAAATAATTTGTTCTCTCTTTTTTATTCCAGATTTCTTGTTTCTAAAAAGTTTCTTTCTTTAAGCTGTACTTACATATCTACATATATTATCTTGAAAATGTTTATAATAGATATGATATACGTGCTCGTGATACCCAAATTATATATGTAATGTGAAATTAATTGTTATATAATATTTTAAACACCACAATTCTTATATATTAAACAACATCCTATATAATTTTAGCGTAATTCATGTCAATTATAAGTATTATATTTTATGAATTTTTAAACTATATTATTTCCTTAACATCCGTAATTTACTAATTCCTTCTTATAATTTTAATAGATTAGACTGAATATACCTACGTACTTAAAACATACTTATTTTATTGATACTAAATGTACTTACAACTATTATATTAATAATTTAAGAATGAAATTTTTTAAATTTATGTTTCACACAAATATAGTCATAATTGTTCAATTACCTCAATCAAAACTTTTTTATTACACTTAACTGAAATGTCTTATCAAATAATATCATTTGAAGTTGTGTACAAATAAGTTGTGTAAATTTAGAAAACTTGAAAAGATAAAATGTTAGTTCTTTAAAAATCATTGGTCATGATTGTCATTAACTATAAGTGTCCCACCTACAACAAGAAGCTAATCTGCATCGTTACAACTTGTCCATAGCGTTTAGCAGCAGCTCCATTTCTTGGTGCACCTCCCGCATCAGGACCCTGATCTGGCGAGCGGAGTCCAGAATGTCAATGCTCTGCGTGTAGGGATTGTAACGGACGCCAAAGTCACGTGGGATCGTTTGAGCAAACTTTCTGTTAACATCAAATTTATTATGAATGATTATATTATGTTCAGATTTAATGAAAAAAAGCATTATCAAATTTTTATCTTAGTGAAACTTGTGAACTACATTTAAGAAAAACTATATTTTGAGTTTATACTTACATCATCTTCTCCTGGGCATCTTCAAAGCTGTTAGCAACGAAATAGACGGGCTGGTATTCTGTGATGGGATACTTGGTACCCCCGGTAGACTCGGGGTCAAACTCTCTCAACTCAGGTTTGTCTGAGAGACAGTACTGTAGCTCGCCGAAGGACGACAGTAGACCGGCGCCGTAAGCCTTTAGTTGACCTTCTTGCCGGCACAGACCAAACTCCACCGTGAACCAGAAGCACTGACATGAGGATAGTACAATGATTGATTATAATATCCATTCGAAGGAACACATAAAACATATTTACAAATATTTTCATTTTAAAATTCTGATAAATACCTTAGCTTGAAATTCTAAAATTAAACAATATTGTTGAGTTATTTACCGTGGCTAGTTTCTCGATGTAATCATCAGGAGCTCCTAGAGACGCAAGACCAATTTCTTGAGAGAATTGTGCAAAGGCGGGATCCGCAAAAAGCGGGGCGTGTCCAAGCAATTCGTGGCACACGTCTGGTTCCGGAGTATAGAGTGGTCTTGAATGGTGTCTGATATACTGGGTGCTGTGGAACACTCGAAAAGCAAGTCCAGCCAGAAAGTCACGCGACGAGAGAAGTCCTGCCACGGGCCGCAGAGTGAAGCCGGTGCTATCTGGTGATGATAAAAGATAACGAATGTTAACATTGGTTTCCACACATATTGTATTGGAGGAATTATAGTATTTTTGGTTCTCATATTAAGCTTACTCCAAAGAATGACGTAGAAACAGCTACAAGTTTACTGATTTGTAAGTAAGACAGCAAATTGCTTGTTACCAACCTCTCAAAAAGTTAGAAACATCTTCCAATTGTGGAATGTTGTCGTCCCTGTAACCACAGTTTTCGATCAGCAGCGGGAAGACATGGTTGTGCTCTTTGCAGGCATGAGTGGGGTAGAGCTCTGTCAACTTCCGGAAAACTACACCCCAGGTGGCCACCTCCTCTTTGGTGTACTCCACATAAGGCAGAGGCTCTCCGTGCTTGTAGTTGTATGCAATGTCGGCGAAATATTTGCGGCGGTCGCGGTAAACAGGATCGGTAAATCCAGGGTGATCAGAGTCCAGTTCGGCACCGTATGAGAGGATCTGGTTGGCAAAGCGATCTAAGTCGCGGATACGACGTGGGAACCAAGGAACAGCGGCTGAAACAATTAGTCCATTTTTATAAGTGAATTGCATTTTCTCGATATGTTGAAACGTTCATAAATGCTTGATTGGATATCAAAGTTTGTATTTTAGCAAATTAAGTTTTCGTTGTGTTTGTTTTTGAAAAGGAGTTAGTGTGAAATTAATTTATTTCTACAATCTTGTCATTTTGTCATGGAAATAGATAACGAGAAGGCACTCACATCGATTATCTTTATAGTTTCTCGAAATAATATTTAGGTATCCAACATTCTTCTTCAGCTCTTCAAGGGCCGCTCCGAAATCTCCAGAACCATGTTCACATTCAACCATGAACTCATAGCCTGGACGCCTTGTGGAAGATCTGGATTCAATGTGACTGAGGTTGACTCCATGAGAAGAGAAAATGCCTAAATATCTGGCTAACGAGCCAGCCTCGTCGGGTGCGACTGGTGAAATCAGAAGCCAAGTTGATTTGGTAGAATCACGACCCTCGCGGATGTAGTTGCCACCTTCCATCAATTTTGGCTGTTGACAATGTTAATGACATGTTAATTTAGGTAGCCACTACGTAATGACTGCCTCTACTAGGCCAACCTATCTAAGCAAAAGCTGATCCACCACCAAACTCAAGAAATACAACGTCTAAGTTTTCTTCAGTATAGAAGTGTCGTTCAATTGTTTAATAAAGCTTATGGTTCGTAAGTAGGTAATGCCAGAAAATGTTACAATAATCTATAAGACAATTTTACACTATTGTTAGACGCGCTCTGCTATAGAAAAAGGACGAAAGAGAACGGAGAGGTAATACGCAGATACAACAAACTTATTTACTTTAATGATAGAAAAGGTAGATATTCTATCAATTTGTTAACTGCTGTTTCAGTTTCGAGAACAACTCACCTAAAATACTATTGATCAAATACATATTATGAATGTATTTAAAAACTTAGATCCTTTTTTGTGTTCAACGAAGACATAATATCAAACTGGTCTGATGTACAGACGCAGTGGCGTGATCAATATTTTATAGTAATTGTACAAGCCAATGGTATCGTCGTGATTAACTGTACCCTTACTAATTCTTTTTGGATGCTTCACAAGTGATAAGTTTGAGAAATATTCAAACACAGTTGAATCGTTGTGACATCCGGCGTTATCGGGAGCTCGTAATTAAATAGATAAGGTTCTTGTTCTATTTCTCGGAGGTCAATCTGGAATAGGTCCGATAACCTCCGCGTCGTCGTCATCAGTGATACGTCCATTCAACGGTTTATTTGTTTGTACAGTATTTTACGAGATTTTTTTTCTTTCTTAGAGGGTTATTTTCACGTTTATGAGGTTTTAAACTATGAACAGTCACGAACAGCTGAGTCACAAGCAGGTCGACTACTTCCAAAGTAATAAAAAATTAACTCGTTCTTCTAGATATATTTTGCCTGGTAAATTAACAAAATTTAAAATATTCAATCTGGGTATAATAACCGGCAAACTTCTTGAGCATTTGTTGACGTAGTGGGGGTAAGTTTGCGCATGGTACACTCACGTGCAAAAACATTACTTACTCTGCGTCATAATGCTATTAAATTATTAAAATCAACATATATATTTATTTATATATTTATTAGAACATCAACAAAACATATAGGTTAATAATTGTAATAATTTAATCTTGGGGTAAAATAGATATTCCTTCTATTAAGTCAAAACTAGAGCTGTTGCCAGGTCTTGGTTCAGTTGAAGCGAAGCTGGTATTTGTAATTTTTTTTTCGTTATCATAATCTTGACCATCATCATCATCACTGTTTTCATCACCCGAGTCGCTATCATCGTGATGAGTCGACATAGGGCTCATCGGCGTAGTTTACAACTCGGTCGATTCGGTCTTCTTTTTTGTCTATAATTAATTATTTTTTGAAGATATTCGATTCGTAGTAATCGAATGTTACTTTTTTCATTTACCAGCTTCCGATTATTTTCTGTTCTTTTTTTCCATCTGAAGCCTAGCTCTTTCATAATTCGTCGTAAGCTTCATTCCGAGCCATTAAAATTTATATCTTCTTTAAATTTTTCGAAGCCTTTCTACGGTACGGAGTTTCGCTGCTTGTTATGTAGTTATTATGATTACATCTTTTTATTACAGATTGAACGAAACTATCCATTCCGGTAACTTTCTTCTTCCCTGATCTTTTCTTACCCGGAGTCCGAAACACGGCGAGCAAGCCAGAGCCTTTAGCTTCGTTAATAATGCACCTAACAGTACTCACTGATGTTTTTGTTGCTTCCGAAGTCTGTTTTAATTTTTCCATATCATTCTTCCCCTGTTTTATAATGAAGCAATATACGTCGTACACAAATTTTCTACCCTTTCTTTTAAGTACTACACCAGTTTGTCACGGCATAGTGTATGTTTTATAAAAAATCAACAAACACTCAACAAATAGCAATGGCAACAAAGTCCACAAGCAATTATAACAAATAACTTAACGATTAATAACGATAGACTTTCCACTGAACGCAAGCGTACTTTTGGGAGCAAGCGGAATGAGGGCGCGGTGCGGGACGCAAGGTTCAACTGATCTACCAATAACGCGCTCGATACGATTTCCCCTGCCGTCGCGCCTCACCCTCACCACCAAAGTGATCTAAAATTCGTTTCTGCGCAGTCAAGGTCATTTGCTCAAGAAGTTTGCCGATTACTATACTTCACTACATCGTATAAAACAAAGTCGCTTTCTCTGTCCCTATATCCCTATGTATACTTAAATCTTTAAAACTACGCATCAGATTTTGATGCGGTTTTTTTTAATAGATAGAGTGATTGAAGAGAAAGGTTTATATGTATAATAACATCCATTAAATAGTGGAGAAATCAATAATAAATTATAGTTTCCGAAGCGAAGCGAGAGCGGGTCGCTGGTACTTTGATATAACAGTCGTTAATTTTAAAATCAAAGACATTAAAGTAACACCGACATCAAACCTATAATAAACTTATGCAGTTAATAACAAAATTGTGTGGTTTCTTGAACATTTCCACCGATAGATTTAGCTTTAGTATTCATTTCATTTATCCAACATACCTACTTATTAAATTCCAAACGTGTCAAATTTAAAGGTCACATTTTATATTTCCGTATCCATTCTCCATATCTCATTGCAGAAATCAGTTTAATGTTTGCAGCGATACCTTTTGCCTTCGAAATGCAATCGAAGTGTTGCAAAGAAGTACTTAATTATGTATTAATGATGAACAAGCGAGTACATTAACATTGTAAATCAATAAAGACCGGTACAGTACCGAACTTAACATCCATTTCCAAAAAACAAAATTCATCACTGTCTCTCTCAGTCGAATAAGAATCAACAGAGCTACGATTCGCTAAAATATCAGCAGATATGGAGATAATTAAATCAATTCGCAAAATGTCAACAAAAAAAAATATTTTAATTGAATACACATATATTATCTAGAAGCAATTACACCGCTTATCACAATGTTTTTAACAATAAAAGCAATGTTTTGTTTTTATTGCGTGTGGTTTTCTTATTTTTAATTTAATTTTATAATCGTTGTAGATAAATTTTATGCGAAACGACGCCGCAAAATGTTACTGCGTAAAAGTTAGAAAAGTTTAGCCTCAGACAGACAAAACTGAAACTTTTAGCGTTAGTAACGTTTTAAAGTTACTATTTATTTTGACTAAGATTAATAATTGTGCAGTATGACTACTCCATGACGTGCAAATACCGAAAGTCATGAAGAGGCTCGAAGGCCACCGGTCTAAGTAAACGTAAGCTGTCGATTGCAATTTTAAACTTGTATAGTACTTTTACATTTAAGCTGAAATACACAATTGTGTGGTGGAAGAAATAGACAATAATGCAATACCAAGCTGGTTTAAAACACACCTACACACACGCTGCACAAAGCAATGTGTGATGCTTAAGAAGAAGAAGACGAATATTAAGTGAATTAAAGTTATTGGAATTTCTATGAAACTCAAATATGTGTTTTATTTGATTTAAATTGTTTACTCCTCAATGATTGACTCGAGGAAAACTTACTTTAAAATTTCAAGAATTGCAATGGCTTTAAGTTGGCGTCTTAATTTAGTTTTGAAATCAATTTACGCTACCGGTTGCGTGTTTACTAGATACATATTAATGCGTAGTTAGATAAACACCGAAATATAGTAAGAAAAGTAAAATTTAGAGGTTGTTTATTCTAACACAGGTAACGTAGTCTTGTTCAAGCTGTTCTAATTCATTTGGTCATAGAATTACTCAAATCTATTAAAAATTTCTTCTTCAGCACTAGCGGTTTTTTTTTTACTTTAAAAACAATTGTAATGCAATCAATTTCATTAAATAAACAAGACTACATACTTCCGCTATTTCGTTTGCACTTTTATTACAATGAAATTTAATGGAATCTATGTAATTGCCAAAAAAAGCATTCGCCGTTACTTTTCCTTGCATAATGTAATCCTGCCTATCTGGTTGCAATCAGGTCGGAAATTTTAAGTACGATTATTAGGTATGAACCGAAGTACCCTTTGTAATGTCAAATAGCAGGAAAACAACTATAGTGTTAAATACAATTGTTATTTGTGCTCAACAAAATTTCGATTAGTCAAGATTGAGTTAACAGGTAAACAGTCGTTGCAAGCTAAGCATTGTATTTGCTAATTTATATCTACAGGTTAATTTTTTTTTTAAATACCCTTAAATTCATTTTATTGTTGTTGCCCCTAATATACGTGTTTCTTCAAAACGTTGAGTCTCATACAATAAAAAACATAAACAAAAAATTTAACGTAAAAAAAAAGGTCAGAATATGAAATCCCAAAGCAGTTAGTAGCAAAGCATATAATAATATCAGAGCACTCCTAGCTGTAATATCAGAAACACGCGTTTAAACATGCGTTTTACCTTTTTCATCTTTTCTGATGTCATGCACTGTTTGTGGTCCCATGCACACTAAAAATAAATGATTAACTATATTTTATATAGAAATCCCATTCAGCAAGCATCTATAGGAAGGAGAAAAATAAAAATTGGTGAAGTATATTATATCAATACGGACAAAAGTAGTAACAAACTTAAAAAAAACAGTTTAAGTGAGTTTCAAAAATAAAACTGTAATTCCACCAATTATTTGAAACGTTACGTTAATCTAGATTTGAATTTTAATCTTTGCTTCTCCCCGTGAATTTTGCCGAATGTTTTATGGTTTTGTTTTCCATGTTTCTGTCATGTCACGTTTGTTAACGCACCACCCGCCACTGGAGAACACCCACATTGCCAGGAATGACAGAATCTATCCAGCTTTAGACACTTTTGCTACCGTGACATGTCCTGTCTCACTCCAGATTTGATAAGCGACGTCAAAAACTTAAGTTAACTTAGTAATTACCTTTTCCATTGACTAGCTAATTACTATTATTTACAGAAATATGTTAGAATCGACATCTAAATGATCTATTTACTGAATAAAATAAATGACAGATGGTGATTGAGCCAATGTCGTCATAAGACGAAACAAAAACAGTTTGATAAGTCGCTTAATATTTTTATTCTACGTTAGCAAGTGCGCGCGCTCATAAATTTTAGTATTACCTGCATAAAATTCGACAGATATGTTTATATTTAATATCAGTTTTAATTCAATTTCATACCTTGTCGGGAGGCGAGCCAGACGTGGGTTGTTCAATTTGCTTCGCCGTGATGTCCATTTCTTTTTCTGTTGCTGGAAGAGGCGTGTGTTCTCAGCGTGAGTGACTTATGTAAACAAACCTTTGCCGACTAGCAGCCTGTTATATGCGAACGCTCTGACGTTATTCGACTTCGTAAAATATGGATGTGGTATCTACGACGTTTAGTTGTTTAGATTCTAAAACGACCTTTGACTTCAGGATTTAATGTTTTGTTTTTTATTTGTGTGCAAGTATTGTTTATTGCTTACTGAAATATTATTATTTCAAAATAATTTGACCTCTGTTGTTTTAAACGACTAACCAATGAAATAACAAAATTATACCGGTTTAATAAAACTATCAGTGTTCAGCAGGCCATAAATATTTAAAATAATTTGTATAGTACTTATGACAACACCAACAAACACAAAGACTTGATAAACGCATCCAAAAGTCGAGCTAAGCTTCGTGTATCGTTGTGCTTTATAAAAAACAACGTTGCAATAGATCTGTCAAGTTGCGTTTGAAGGTTCTAGAGTTCCATTATTTTGGCCAGACATGAAATTTCTTGGCTAGGTTGATTATACTGTGATTTTCATCTAAAATATTGTTTTATTTTACTTTTATTTTTTTATTGCTTAAACAGGTGGATGAGCTCACGGCCCACCTGATGTTAAGTGATTACCGGAGCCCATAGACATCTACAACGTAAATGCCACCACCCACCTTGAGACATAAGTTCTAAGGTATCGGTTTTTACAATATAACGGCTGCCTCACTCTTCAAACTGAAACGCATTACCTACTGCTTCAAAGCAGAAATAAGCTTGGTGGTAGTATCTACCCGTGCGGACTCACAATACGTCCTACCACCAGTAAAATTAAATTAAAACCAGTGTTGTAAAAAACAGATACATACAAGTTGGCGTGCGTAAATTTTTCGGACGAAAAAAAAAAAAACAAGTTTGGAATTCCGATGAAGCGAAACCTGACTTGAGTGGCCCCACAATACTATAATACATTCAAAGTTGCAAATATCCAATATAAAAATCAACATCAAAATATCCAACGTACCTATGACAAAATGGAGTTGGCCTAAGCATTCATCAAACATTACTAGGCTCTTTATTTAGCCCCCTATCATAGATTATTTAGGTAAAATAAACGTAAAAACCAATGCCGCCATGCACATAAGAACTAATCATCTCTATTCTCATTAAGTTTTCCTTGCAAGATTTTTTACTATCGAAATTACATTAAACATAAAGAACCCGTTGTGTATTTTACTTGAATTGTAACAGGTTCGCGTTTGGAAGGTCATAATGAGTTTTTGCACGTGGTTCTACTGCGCCGCGTAAAACTCGATGCATTGGAAACGCAAAACCGGATATTAGTAACACAGTTATTATGTATTGAATGTGTTGTGTGTTTTATATTGCAATGAAAATTTGTCAGTTTTGATGTGTCGACAGCCGATACATACTCAATGTGCTCTGAGATACACGTAGGTAATAACATAATGAGCTATTCAAGCATAAACAAATAGTGAGGATTTAAACAGCTCAGAGCGGCCTGATCCCAGCCAATCCCATTAACCCGAGTCGATTATCATGATGAATATTCCATTGCAATTTAACAGCTACCCGACCTACAATAAATTAAATTGGAATATAATTGTTAAAAGATCTCTGTTCATAAGTCGGTGACGTAACTCCATAAACACAAAATATATTTAAACTTGATTAAGTGGCTTTTACTGTCCTTCGAATATGGTTTAAAATCGCAAATATCAACTCTAACGGTGCATTGGCTATTAATATTCATAGCACCAAATTGACATTTTAAATCTAAAAACTTTAATAAATCTAACTTTAAAAAATTTCTCGCTCTTGACGTCGAAGTTTGAATTTTTAAATTATGTAGTATAGACGGAAACATCTATACTAATATTATAAAGAGGAAAGATTTGTTTGTTTGTTTGTATTGAATAGGCTTCGAAACTACTGAACCGATTTGAAAAACTCTTTCACTGTTTGGAAGCTACACTATTCCCGAGTGACATATGCTATAATCTTTTTTGAAAAATGGGGGATTATCCTTACTAAAACTCCAATAATGTAACCCAAGGTGTAAAAAAAATACCTAAAATATTCATTACATCGCGTGACCTGCGAAAACTATTAGTGATAGAATAAAATAATGTAATAATTGTAGAACACATTATTGTTTACAAAAAGTGTCAGGACAGCATATTATGTCTAACTATTAGAGTTATGCCGCAATAAGTGTTCTTTTATTTTTAAAAACAACGTCAAATATCGTTGAAATTTTTGTAAAAGACCCGAGCGGAGCCGGAGCGTGCCGCTAGTAATACATAAAAGGACTAAAATAAAAAGGCTAATAAATGGACGTACTGTCCCAGCATACGAACACGGAACTAATATTGCGGTAGAACTACTACATACATACGTTTGTGGAAGTCACGAGCGGAACAAGCGCACTATTGATATTGCCTGCAGACAAACAAAATCATCGGGATCCATTTGAGCCGAGCTGCCCGCTATATCTCTGAGGTGCTGTATCACAAAACAGAGTGACGTCATAACACGGTTTTCCTTCCTCTGTTTGTTTTGATTGAATAAGTCGATTCATGTTTTATTAAATAATTACAATATATGATATAATAATACAATATAATAACAATATATCATATATTAACAATATATTATAATCCAATTACCCGAATGTGTCGCAACTATAACGAACTAGCAAAGTCGTCAACTGAGTTGGATATTGTTACTTGTAGGTTAGTGACGTTTATAAAAATGCTCAAGGGCATCCTCCAAGTTAATAATAGGTTAAGTAGTGTAATTGTTAAATGTGTATTGTGAATAAAATTATTTCCTTACATTCTATGTTAGATTAGTTTTCGTTATCGTGTTGTTTTGTCGTATAGTTGTAAGGAACATTGTGTACAAATTCAGCACTTTGTCTTGTTTAGTCGTGCACACATTGCTACTGTGGCAAGCCAGATTTTGTTTCTTTTTACTTGTGTTTTTTATGTATATTTTTAGCTTGTAATGTGTATTGTGTGCCTAATAAAAAAATAACTAACTAAACTGTATAGCTATGTGGCACGTCACATCCTCGACGTTGAGTGCTGTTCGCAATTTGACCACAATCATAGCATCCTTGTTTTATTGACGTAGAAGAGTAGAAGCAGACAGGAGTTCACGGCCCACCTCTTGTTGAACGGCTACTGGAAAGCTCAGGTCTGTACCTGAGGATCCACGACATGTGCCCAATAGATCTATCGAATACTATAGTGATATTGTCATATCGTACAACAATCACTAAAACGCGATCGTTTCTGCTCCCAGGAAGCTATTCGTTCTGATCTCAAGATGGGCGCCTATTTTTTATTTATTGCTTATGTGGGTGGAAGAGCTCACGGCCCACTTTATATTAAGTGATTACCGGAGCCCTTAGACATCTACAACGTAAATGCCATCACCTACCTTGAGATACGGTTCTAAGGTCTCAGTTTTAACAGTACAACATTATGCTGTGTGCCGGTGTACAGTGAGAACATGAACATCAAAGCTCAATATATAACTAGTCAGGTCATAAGTATTATCACACAGTAAAAACTTTTCTTTTAGAATGCTGGCCACAATTTTTTTTATTGAATTCGAATTTCGAATTGTTCATGAAAATAAAAATGTATACTTTTAGAATTTTACTCTTTTTTAAATATGGAGTGGACGCTTAAAGAAGACCGTGTTGCAGTTATTGCGTTGCATCGTTGCGGTTACGCGCCAATTCAAATTTTTAACATACTGAAAAATTTGAATATAACCAAAAGATTCGTTTATCGTACCATCAAACGATACAATGAAGACTCTAGTGTAGATGACAGGTCAAGAAGTGGTCGCCCTCGGTCTGTTAGGACTCCAGCAGTGATAAAAGCTGTGAAGGCGCGAATTCAAAGAAATCCCAAACGTAAGCAGAAACTGTTGGCCCTTCAGATGGGGTTAAGCAGAACCACGGTGAAAAGGGTGTTAAATGAAGACTTAGGGCTTCGGGCATATCGAAGAAAAACAGGACATCGTTTAAATGCTCGTCTAATGGACCTGAGACTGAAGAGATGCCGCGCTTTGTTGAAGCGGTACGCGGTAAAAAATATCGGGAAATTCTTTTTTCGGATGAAAAAATTTTTACCGTAGAAGAGAGCTACAACAAACAAAATGATAAGATGTACGCACACAGTAGTGAAGAAGCGAGCGACCGTATTCCGCGTGTCCAACGAGGTCATTTTCCATCCTCGCTCTTGGTATGGTTGGGAGTTTCTTATTGGGGCTTAACAGAGGTACATTTTTGTGAGAAAGGTGTAAAAAAGAATGCAGTTGTGTATCAAAATACAGTCCTGACGAACCTCGTGGAACCTGTTTCTCATACCATGTTCAATAACAGGCACTGGGTATTCCAACAAGTTTCGGCGCCAGCTCATAGAGCGAAGAGCACACAAGACTGACTGGCGGCGCGTAAAATCGACTTCATCCGGCACGAAGACTGGCCCTCCTCCAGTCCAGATTTGAATCCGTTAGATTACAAGATATGGCAACACTTGGAGGAAAAGGCGTGCTCAAAGCCTCATCCTAATTTGGAGTCACTCAAGACATCCTTGATTAAGGCAGCCGCCGATATTGACATGCACCTCGTTCGTGCTGCGATAGACGACTGGCCGCGCAAATTGAAGGCCTGTATTCAAAATCACGGAGGTAATTTTGAATAAGCTTTAATGTCATAAGAATCTATGTTTTGTTAAGTTCATTTTGGTATATGAATGGTTACATAATGAATAAACTTGTTTCAATTATTTTACATTAAACACGTGACAGAATTTATGACCTGATTAGGTATATAATATAGTACATGAATTAGATAATTCTGCTGCGGCACATGAGAACCGAATCATGACAATAAAAACACAACACAGTCGGGAAACTGAAGTTATATTCAGTGCACCAATTTAATATACATATATGTGTGTTGGAGAACATTAATAATCCAGGGTCACGTTCACGGCTTGCTTGTTCACCCAGTACAGCTCTCTATCTCTCACTAATCATAGAATATGATGCTTGAAATGTAAGTTTTTCGTCGTCTAGTGTATGCACTGTCTCAGAGATAACTATGAGCTTGACCAGTACGTTTCTTGTCTATAGACTTACTTATAGGCAGATAAGCTCATTGCAGCATACAAGCTCATCATCAGTGAGTGTTGAAATGACGGCTGATAGAAGAGAATGGAAGAGAAAAATAAGCTGTGCCGACCCCCGCCTAGTGGGATAAGGTGGAGAAAAAGAAGAAGAGATGAGCTCATTGCCGACCTGATGTTTAGAAGTTACTGGACCTGTAGTCTGATAGATAGATCATGCGAAGTGTTAACCACACTACCCACAATAAGAAAAAAGATCAATCTGAATTCTGTTGTATGATGAATATCTTAATGTTAAAAAGTCACGACAGAAGTGAGTAGGAGGAAGTAGTGAGTTCTAATGATAATTATCCAGCAATTAAATCTTGCATCATAAAAATGCATGCAGCGCAACAAATGTAATAAATAAATGAACATTTTTCTTTGAAAAAATCCTAATTATAACAAAAAGTTCGAAATCAACACAATGACATTATGTGTCAAAATTGTGATCAATAGGATATCGTTTCAACATTTCCACAAAGTTTTAATAAAAACAAACACACAATGGTACAGTTGAAACAAGTGTCCCTAAGATTAAAATCGATAAAAAACATACAGAAGATTACCAAAACTATGAAAATGGTTTCCGCTAGCAAGTAAACATTATCCTCAATTTGGAACTAGTAACGATTTATACTGTTCATAACCTGTTCAATCAAATAGAAATCAAACAAGTTTTTTGATGGTTTAGAAGTTTAGATGGACGGTCATTATCGAGCTTGCGGCCCATGTTGTTTTAAGCGACTGCTTAATCCGCACTATATTGATGGCTTGGTCTCAATTATATGTGATCATCAATGTCAGAAATAGAGGAGATGCTGACAACGACCAAACACTGTTGAAATACGTAATAATTCATGTTCGTGAATGACTCCAAAAATGAAGATATAACATCGTGTAATAAAAACCAAACCAGGAAAATTTGTAATATGCGTCATTACTAAATACTTTACCTTAAGTCTCGAGTTGTCATTCACGTTGTGATGTATTAGGGGTCGGTAACCACTTAACACCAGATGGGTCATGAGCTCGTTCATATTATGTCGTCGCAGTAAAAAAATAACCCAAGATCAACATTAAGAGAGATTCTGTTTTAAAATTGATTTCTTATAAATCGTACTACTTACTGTTGTACTTTTTGTTTCCGTGCAGATGACGTTAAATACCTTAACAGGACACAAGCAGTCATTTCCTTATCGGTTTTTTTCCTTTGTTTATGGCGGCCTTGTGATATCCCAGGTTTACAAAAGCAGAACGCGAACTGCAAGCAGCGAGGCCTTTCGGTTATGGCCCTAGGAAGTTCTACGAATCTTCTCGATTGATAAAGGCGGCTGTGGACAGCAAAGATAAGAAAGACGCCGCCGCTGTCCCCGAACCAGTGCAGGAGAAACCGGAAGACCAGGAGGCCCAAAAGAAACTCAAAAGGATTTATATAGCTATGACGTCTGACAGAGGTATCTAAAAGTTGCTCGTAACTAAAATTCATGCTCAAATATGGAAACATGGTTTTTTGCTTAGTATTATTATAGCGGTTATTATCACAGAGCATGTAATTAACTATATTGTTTTCTATAAACACGTGTATAGGGCGACGTCTACAAAGTGAACAGAAAATGTATAATGTTATTCGAAACTTGTAAATATATACGCAAGCTTGTCTTGAAAATGCTGTTAACGAGAATCAATTTTTTTCTATGTTATTATATAATCTGTTTCTTGTTGACTCAAATACGAACCAACTTCTTAAAGAAGCCATTCCGAAGCCTTCGAAGTCACTGCGCAATAAAACCTTGTGATAACAGATTTATTAAATTTTGGATGGGTGACACGAATAATGGACCCCTGTATTGAATTAGCTACAGGACTTTTTGAATATTTTTTTCTATCTATGTTGATAGCCTTAGAGGGCTATGCCAGCGTCATCAAGCGAATAGGTAAGCTCACGGGGCTCTAACCTGGGACGTTCTTAACACTAGCAAGAGCAGTGCTTCGCAGAATCTACCACCGGATCGGAAACGCAACCCACTGGGAAGAACCTGCGAGAAACTCAGTGGGCTGTGTCTCTGGGTTAATTTACTCGCCGAACCCTCCGTTGCAAGCAACGGTTTCGACGAGAACGGTGACCGGTGCTTGAGGTACCTAAAAGCACAGTAGATCGGGAGGATCCGTAATGACGTGCTTAGGGCGAAGTCAACTGTTTACCATTCGATTCGCAAGATCGGGTATGTATTTACCCGCGGCCAGGACAAAAGGGTGTCCGTGTCGTGCCGCTTTCTCGAAATGGCGCACTGATGCTGACTGAAGATACTTACTGATAGAGTCCAGCTCCATACTATCAAGGATATCCACGTTTCTCACGAACCATGGTGCTCTGACGGCTATCCTGCAAAAACGGGATTGAATGATTTGAAGGAGTTCAAGTTAGTGCAGGCCGCGTGAGCGAACACTACACTTGCATAGGTCATGACTGGACCTTTCTGGACCTACAAAACCTGCATACGACCCTTGTCCCTTAAATTCTTCGCTATTGCGAAGGGACAATTTACTTCACTTGCGAATCATCAGATAAAGATCAGATCTCTTCATGATTAGACCACCACGGACATTCGTCCTGTTGATTAATTTTCTCATGTAAGACGAATTTCTTTGCAATATATGAATTCACCGTACGGGTGCCGGATCCATCGAGTCCGAGAGAGGAATTGATACGAAGAATGCCAGTGGATTTGCGACCTTAGTGTAGGTTCAAGAGGTCCTTAGCAATGCGCATTACGCTCAACTCCATTCTCCGCATACTTCTCCTTGCTCACCTACTACTGGTGCGACCTGGATGTCCATTCAAGTATAGAATATACGAAATTTCATAAAAACCCAAGGTGTTCATAACAACTCAGTTAGGTTATAGAGAGATTTCACTGGACAAACTAATAACGTCCCTTTTTGGTTATCTCGTTCGTAAGATCGTATTTGTTTCTTTTTATTGCATGGTCTTTCAAGCTGAAAATATACATAATAATATGTATTTGAAAAAAAAGTGTATTACAGATTACAGTAACAGTTGATCACCATAACAAAACGAATAAACAATACATTTAATACTTTATTCCAATTTGTAGTCTAAGTTTTACACTACAAACACACTACTACAAAATGAGTCGCAGTAAACAGCTTTTAATGTCAATGCCGCAAAATTTGGCACAGCCTTTAAAAATACATATAAGTTTTCGCGTTGATGGCTCGCGACCTGCGGCTCACTTACAGATAGACGAGGTTATCAGACTGGGATTTTTATTTTTATTGATGTCGATGATCAAATGAACTCATTCCCCACCTTATGCCACATGCGTCCATAATCATCAGACCTCCACCTAATGTCTCAATTGCTTGAGAATGAATATTTCCTAAGAACTGAATGATGAAGAATGTTACACGACTTTTACAAGAAAAAATGATAAAATAAAAATGATTTATGAATGATAATGATAAAAATTAAATTAAAGATATTTCTTCTAAGTTTAATGGAAATTATTCTTAGTGTAATTTCCATTAAACAGTACAGCCACTTGCCTCTGCTAATTATGCCGATGATGAGAAAAAATAATCCAATAGGCAATCACACATTATGTATTTGCCATCATTGTGCAGCATAAAATGTTGTGGATATTTATTTGTACTTTAACATTCGATCTCTTTTGGTGCACACGATCTAAATAATATATAAATAATGTAAGTTTTAAGGAGCGATTTGTACATACAAACATAGGTACATAATGTTTCATACATAGATATACATAATGTTTAGCTGAAAGTCAGCACTCAGCACAGAAATAAGGCAGATTAGATGAGCTAGAAGAATTCAAATAGACGATATTAGTTAGCTACCTATGCTCAGACCGTCAGTCTAATATAAAAGTTAAGTGCATCTACTTTATTGTCTAGTCTGTTGTTATATGTATAAATTTAAACATATAACTATAATAATCACCCAGCAAAGTGCAAACAAACCTGTCAACGTTTGCCCGATGTGGGAACCGAACCCACAACCCTCGGCGCAACAGCCAGGGCTGCTCACTACTCCACCACCGAGTCAGCCAAAAGCTATATAGTCCTGAAAAGCTATAGAGATATTTCATTTTGTTCAAGTGGAAAGGAAATGCAATGGTTCTAATCGTAAGGAACAACGAGGTTCTCAATTCGGGTCTCAGGTTTCTTCCATGTCGACATTTAAATGTGACAATTTGTACACAATCAACATCGGTATAGATATTATATTAATAAATGTATTAAATTTACTTTAAAATGTATTAAACCATCTTTAAATGTGAGACAAGTGGATAGTGATGTAATTGTTTCTGAGGAATCATTGGAGCTTGTTGAGTCAACCGTATTTCTTGGTATAACAGTGGACTCCAAACTGCAGTGGGGACCTCATATTCATAAATTGGCGAGTAAGCTCAGCTCTGCAGCATACGCANAAAACTAAATGTATTAAATTTACTTTAAAATGTATTAAACCATCTTTAAATGTGAGACAAGTGGATAGTGATGTAATTGTTTCTGAGGAATCATTGGAGCTTGTTGAGTCAACCGTATTTCTTGGTATAACAGTGGACTCCAAACTGCAGTGGGGACCTCATATTCATAAATTGGCGAGTAAGCTCAGCTCTGCAGCATACGCAGTAAAGAAAATTAGAATGTTAACAAACGCGGACACGGCTCGTTTAGTTTACTTTAGTTACTTCCACAGTGTCATGTCCTATGGCATATTGCTATGGGGCAATGCGGCCGATGTAGAAATGATATTTATTCTGCAGAAAAGAGCTATACTTGCTATTTATAACATGCACTCAAGAGAATCCCTGAGGGAGAAATTTAAAGAAATTAAAGTTCTCACTATGCCATCCCAGTACATTTTTGAAAATTTGATGTATGTTCGTAAACATACTGAGGAGTTTCCTAAACAGTCGGACATACATAATAGAAATACTAGGAACAAACACAAGCTTGTTGTGCCGATGAGTAGGTTACATAAGATACGAAATTCATTCGGGTGTTTGTCTGTGCGCCTGTACAACAAAATCCCACAAGATGTTCAGAACCTACATATACATAGGTTTAAGAAAACTATTAAAGAGCATCTGTGCAATAAAGCTTACTATAAGGTCAATGATTATCTAGAAGATTGCACAAAGTGGGAATGAGTTGCTCGCTCCAGGCATTTCAATATTGTAGTAATTGTTACGTTATAATAAATACTCAGTGTAAAAAATTCATATTTAAAAAAAAATCTAAAATTAAAAAATAAATAAATAATAATTTTATATGTAAAAAAAAGACATGCCCGCTGAGTTTCTTGCCAATTCTTCTCAGGACGGAGGCTAGTTCTTGTGAATTGGCGGTTGTTCTTTTGACGTTCAACAAGTATGTACTTTCATTTATGTTGAATAATTTTTTTTTGATTTCATTTGATTTGATTTGATATCCCGCTTGTTATTTCTTCGTGTCACGAACTGAGTACAGATTACGTTAATAAAAACATAATTTCGTTAACAAAAACGTTGCAAAATGTACGCAATAAACGGATTGGCTCAACTTTGATCTCCGCTACGGAGAAACGGACACGCGTCAGCATTATATAGATACATCAAACGTATTTCGGTATTTCATTGAAATCCTTATCTCGGAAATTAAATAAACTACTTAGAAATGAAACAAGGAAACTTGTTAATCGTGAACAACGAAATGACTGTGATTTTGAAGTACAGCAATGCAATTCAGCACTATCTGGTTTTTTTTAATGCTAACTTTTTTAACTTTTTGTCTGGGATTGTCAGGTCACGAAGTTGTAAGAAATTAAGGTTGGATTTGGATATACATAATATGTATATGTAAAAGTCGATGTGCTCTCCCTATACATTCCAAAAGAGTTGTACTGATCTGAATGAAGTTTTCAGGATATCTTAAGATTGTAATATCAGCTGATCGTGTGTAGTTTGGTAGCGCTGCGCCATTTTGAGAAGGCGGCACGACATGAGAACCCTCTCATCGTAGCCGCTGGAAACTACATACCCGACCCAGTAGACCGAATTGTAAACCGTCGACGTCGCCCAAAGCACGTCATTACGGATCCTCCTGATCCATTAACGGTGCTTTTAGGTACCACAAGCACCGGTCACCATCCTGTTGGACCCGTCGCTTGCGACGAAGGGCTCGACGAGCGAACTAACCCATAGACACAGCTCACTAAGTTTCTCGCCGGATCTTCTCAGTGGGTCGCGTTTCCGATCCGGTGGTAGATTCTGCGAAGCACTGCTCTTGCTAGGGTCAGTGTTAGCACCTCTCCGGTTGAGCCCCGCGAGCTCACCTACAAACGTTAGGGCGAAGCTGAAATAGCCTCTCAAGGCTATCAGCATAGGTAGGGAAAAAAATAATAATTTGGTAGCGATCGCATTAAAGTCAAATCAAATATCGACCAACAAAGCGAGCCGGGTTAACTATTAAATAAACCACCAAACTTATTGTACCTATGTATGTAGTACCTTTTTATGTTAGGTCGTGAAATTTCTGAATGAAGTCGTACAAACGGTTGATGGCAAATTTATTTTGATTTCCTAAATAGCTCGTGCTTAAAAAGAATAAAGTTGCGGTAATTAGGACATATATAAATTAAGTACAACATTCTTTGAATTTTAATTGGTTAATTATTTTTTTCTCCTATTCTCGGTGTGTTACTTAGCCTGGCCATTAATACTGTTACAAAGGAAAACAAAAAAAACCTATGGCAAATAACATTTATTACTTTAACAGTGTGTTAGTTTAATACATAAATATAAAACAATTTAAAGTATAAAAAGCTTATTCGAAGTGGTCTCCATTGGCTGCAATACAGTCCTTTAAACGTTGAGGCTAGTTATCAATAGAAGCACGCACTCTTTCCATGGGAAAATTTTTCACTGCCAATCGTACGGATTGTTTTAGGGACTCCAAATTATCATGGCGTTTAGAACAAGCCGTACTCTCTAAAACTGACCATAAATCATAATCCAGCGGATTAAGATCGGGACTAGACGACGGCCAGTCTTCAGGTCTGATGAAGTCCGAAACGTTCATTTCCAACCAAAACTGCGTAGACCGAGCTTTATGACCTGGCGCCGAGTCTTGCTGGAAGGACCATTCTTGATTATTGAACATGATGTTGTTAAGGGCTTCACTACCTTCTCAAGAATGGTATCTTGATACACTTGTGCCGATGTTTTGATACCTTTTTCACAAAAGTATGGCTCAGTCACTCCTTCATAGCTAATACCCCACCAAACCATCACCGAAGTCGGATAGTGCCCACGTTGCACTCTGTCGACTGATTGGGAAGCTTCCTTAGATCTTTGAGCATATAAATACCTACGGTCATTTTGTTTGTTAAAATTTTGCTCAATTGTAAAAAAAATCACATCCGTAAACAAAAATTTTCTATGACCTCCCTTTGCGTACCGCTTCAGTAGTTGTTTCGATTTTACCACCCTATTCTCTTTTAAATTATTAGTTAAGAATTACCAGTACGTCTCTTATAGGCTGCAAGTTCTAAGTCATCTTTTATAATACGCGACATGGTTCTAGGTGCTATCTTCATCTCCCGAGATAAAATCTTTTGCTTTCGGACAGGATTTCGTCGAATTCTTTCCCTTACTGCTTTGACTACCTTTTTCGTACGAACACTACGTGGACGGCCAGATCTTTTTCAGTCACAAACAGAGGAGGTCTCATTGCATCTATTAATAGCCCGGTACACAAACATTTTACTAATACCAAGCGTATGGAGAGTTTTAAAAATTGCATTTGGCTCCATACCTACTTTGTGTAATGCAATCACAGCGATTCGGTTCTATTTATCACCCCATTCCATTTTAATATCGCAAAATATTGTACAATGTATTGGCGCCAAAATGAGAAAACTTAATGAGCAATCATATAAAAATGACAGATTCAAAATTCAAATGTAATATTTTGTTTATTTTTAATTGTAACAGTATTTATGGCCAGACTAAGTATACGTCATTCCATTGAAACAACGTTATAGTGACGATGGTGGCAATGGAGGGTCAGCAATATTCACATTATATTGTATGTTTAAGTACATTTCTGATTTTCGTAAGATTCTTGAGGATAGAAACAGTAATACAATGTATAATTTTAATGAAATAATTATCAATTGAAGCCGAAGTGTCTTTCTAATGTGAAAAGATTGTGACGTAAGTACTTAGCAGTGGGCTATGGCTTGGCGGTGCTCTTAGCATTGCAAGATTACATCTAAAATATTTGCTATGAATGAATTTTCAGGGTCTTAAATGTTTCTTCTTCTTCTTAACTTAATTGTAACTTCGCCCGCCAATCTAGTATTTTATTTAGGTTTTCTCCTACTTTGTTATACTCGCACGTCAAACACACATACGTTTTAATAATATGAACAAATTCAAGATCTCACCGAAACTGCCGTCCCTGACCGACGGGTCTGACTCGTTGGTGACCACCAGGCTTTGACTCCACAGTACATTAGTCAGGGTCAGCACTTGGCCAACAAAGTTTTCGTGCAGGTCTGTGCGGAGGTGTCCACAGTGGAGTGGCGCGTCGTATACGTCGCGAGATGACCGCTAGGAACGCCGAGGGCACGACACACAAGCTGGTGTGCGTCGGCGACAAGGCTCGGGCGTTGCTGCGCCGGGCGTACTCCACCAGCATGCTGGTCACCGTTAAAGATGTAAGTAATGCTCGACACTGATTCTACACGCTACGGAAAATGTTACTATAAATTCTTAAATGCATACTTAACTTATTAAACTTTAGAAAAAAACAATGAATCACCACAAAAACGGTCTTTTCACCGAGAGGTTTTTATTTCCTAATATGTATTAATTTTAATATTATTGTGATGTTAATAAATTTATAGCAGCTGCTTGCATTCCATGATGTGGCAATAATGAGTAAAGCAATTAAGCGTGAGACTGAATCGTATTAAATTTGAAAGTTAACATGTTGAATTGAGATTTTTCTTTTACTAAAAATCCAACCAAACAACAGTATATTTAGAAATTAGCAAAGATTTTGAGCGATCAATTCTATACTAAAACTGCAACAAAGATACGGAGTGAAAAAGTAGAATCAGGTTATTCAATACAAGGTAACACTTGACTTGGGGCACATGAGAGCTATGCACGGCAAAAGCTACTGAGTAAAGATTAGGTACTTCAGTCTAATAAGATGTACTCCGCCCAGATCGGTCGCATAGCCCCTGTGTTCGCCGACGCGTCACTTATGGCAACCGCGATCGCCGAGTCGGGCTTCACTTACGACGTCGGTGAGATCTACTACAACAAGTACTTTACGGCGGTCAAATATGAAATGTCCATTGTGCCATTCTTCAGTAAAATCAGGATTGAGGTAGGTTGTATCACACAAATATACGTATCACACAAGACATCTCGATAGTATCGTGATTTTTTTTTTCCACAGGAGAAAATCACCGGATCCCCACCCGCACGGCAGTTGGGGTATGTGGGAGTCGAACCTCCTGGGACCGGTTGGGAACCCAGTCGGGGCTATTGAGACGGCGGGACAGGGTTTACGCAGAGCACATTACATCCATCGACCGCCCGACCGCCGGTTCCCTCGGTCGACGGGCTAAGAGCCCGATTGATAGCGCCGCGCTACACCTTCCCCCGGAGCGGTCGGGGGAACGCGACCTACCACGCCGCCCCACGCCTAGGTTCCTCCCCGCACAAAGCGGGTGGAGCCCGAAGCCCTTAGGGGGCCGGGTTACGGACGGGACCCCGGTCCCGACCCCTGCTCGGTGGCGGCGGGTTTCTGCGTAGTGAGGAGAGCTTTGCCTCACTCGCCCCGCCGCCTCCTTCTGCGAGATGGTGCACTCGCAGAGGTCGAGCATAGCCTTCTAAGACTCGTCGCCGCCAAGCATCGACGCCACGACGCCAGGCAGCGACAAGTCCGGTCCTATCTTTGCGACAAGGACACGGCGCTGCACCTCCCAAGCGGGGCAGACAGCGAGCGTATGCTCCGCCGTGTCGTCCAGGTGGTGTCCACAATGGTGGCACCTCGTCATCGGCTCAGCTCCTATCCGGTGCAGGTACTTTCCGAAGCATCCGTGCCCAGTCAGCACCTGCACCAGACGGAAGGTGATGCGTCCTCGGCCACGATTCACCCAATCATAAAAGACTGAGTAAACCGCCTCGACCGGCCGTCCAACACGAGGCCGAGGTACCTTAACTGCACCCCGACCCCTATCCGGACGCCCCCAACCACGATGTGGGCGTCGACAGGTGGCGCTCTCCGCGGCCCGTGAAACCACAAGGCCTCGGATTTACTGAGCGCCACGTCGAGGCCCAGTCTCTTTATCCTCCCGACGACGAGGGCCACTCCCGCTGTGGCGAGACGGGCAGACTCTCTATAATCATCCCCCCGGGCCACGACCAAAGTGTCGTCCGCGTAACAAATAACACGGAGGCCCGGGAGGAGGGCACCCCTCAGCACCCAGTCGTACCCGATGTTCCACAAGAGGGGTCCGAGAACCGACCCCTGTGGAACACCACGCACGACCGGAAAACGGTGAAGGGTCCCACCGTACCCGGTACATTCGACCGACCTGGCCTCCAAATAGGAGCCAACCAGCCGGCGGAGGTAGAGGGGCACTCCATGCCTCTCCAGTGCCCCCCCTATCACAGACCAGGGCAGGGTGTTAAATGCGTTGGCGATGTCAAGAGACACCGCCAGCGCCACCCCACCCCGTGAGACAGCCTCGTCCGAGAGGGCCCGCACGCGAAGTATCGCATCCACGGTCGAACGGCCCTCCCGGAAGCCGAACTGCTCCGCCGACAGGTCAGGTCCAACCCCGACCAGGTGCTGAACGATGCGGGCAGCCAGAATACGCTCCAGCAATTTTCCCGCCTCGTCCAGCAGTACGATAGGACGATACCCGGCGGCTGTATCCACCGGGCGCCCCTCCTTTCTTAACAACACAAGTCTGCCCGTCCGCCAGAGCAACGGAAACCGTCCCGACTCCAGGCAACCATTAAATAGCTCCAGGAGCCGGTCCCCCAGGGCATCGAGGGCCAAGGCCAGCACCCGGCCATGGACTCCGTCCGGGCCGGGGGCCGTGTCCTTTGCAGTCATATAGTATCGTGATAACAAAATTTCAAATGGTTTGTTATTTGAGCCTTAACTTATATTGTGCATTAATGAAATAGAAAGTGATTGTGAGAAAAAGTGGTTGTAACAAGTAGTTGCTGATTTAATTTACGGTACGTTTTTAACTACTGCTTCTTTTACTGTTGTATCTTGAAACTCCTTTCATTCTCTCTTTCTCAGGTACATGCCATCCGTTTCACTCATTCGTTTATCTTTTGTTCCGTAGTTTATATTCGTGAACTGAATGTGATTCCCAGGGCGGCGTAGACTAGCATATTCGAAAAAAATCTTTGCTCTATAGCATCGGGAGATTTTTTGTTAACGATCTCACGGCCCACCTGGTGTTAAGTGGTTACCAGAGCCCATAGAAATCTATAACGTAAATGCCACCACCCATATCGAGACAAGAGTTGTAAGGTCTCAATTTTAACAGTACAACGGCTGCCCTATCCTCCAAACCGAAATGCATTGCTGCTTCACGGCAGAAATAGGCAGGGTGCTGGCACCTACCCGTGCGGACTAACAAGATGTCCTACCACCAGTAATTTTATGAACACTTTATGAACATTTTATTTCACTGGTGGTAGGACCTCTTGGGAGTCCGCACGGGTAGGTACCACCACCCCGCCTATTTCCGCCGTGAAGCAGTAATGCGTTTCGGTTCGAAGGGTGGGGTAGCCGTTGTCACTATACTGAGACCTTAGAACTTATATCTCAAGGTGGGTGGCGCATTTACGTTGTAGATGTCTATGGGCTCCAGTAACCACTTAACACCAGGTGGGCTGTGAGCTCGNAAAAAAAAAAAAAAAAAAAAAAAAAAAAAGAACATATGTATTAGCTGCATTTCGGCTTTGGGAACGGCTTCACACTACTAAGTATTGGCTATATTAACAAAAATCGCCTTATTTTCCCTTCCTTAGTCAGCCCCGAACATGACAGCCTTCGATGACGTGGATGACGACCAGCTGGAGTGCTACGCGGAGTGGACCCTCGCCGCGCTCCTCTACTACGCGTTGAAGCAAGGCGCGGCTTCAGAACAGTCTGCCCGGATGGCTGCCATGGACAACGCTACGAAGAACGCATCCGAAATGATCAGGAAACTGACGCTGCTCTTCAACAGAACGAGACAAGCAGTCATCACCAGGGAGCTTATTGAAATCATTTCAGGAGCGGCGGCTTTAAAGTGATCCTTAACCAGTGACAGCTAATAATAAAAGGGAATTTAGATCCTTTTTTTTATCTTCTCAATAAACATCTAAGTCTCAGTACGTAAGAGCCCGGTTCTAGTGGTTTCAAGTCTGACAGCATATTATTATGTACGGTATAGGAAAGAAGAGGTTAAATTAAAGTTAAATTTATGGCTCTGGTTTCGGTCTAGAATACAAACATCCCATCTGCTCAAACTAAAGCAATTACCGGAGAATTGGCAGCAGCATTCTTTGAGTATAATGCCAGCTTGCTGAAGTCTTCAACAAGATTTTATTGGCTGTGCTGGTATTGTAAACTTATATGGATGGGTATCACTTTATATCAATATCTATACATCAATGCCGCTACCCACTTTGCGATATGAAGACTAGGTTTCGATTTATGGTATAATGGCAGTTCCATCCTTCAAACCGGAACGAATGACTGCTTCGCCGCAGAAATAAGCAAGATAGCGAGATCCACAGGGCCTTCAGTGAAAACTTTACACTAGTGTGCTTAATGCAAGTTTTTTAACGTTCTCGATAGCGTAAAAGTTAACTCAAATTTGTATGCAGTTAGAACAGCGCACCTAGCGGCAAACGTAGACGAAAGTTCCAACTTCATACAAATTTCAGTTAACTTTTACGCTATCGAGAACGTTAAAAAACTTGAAGTCGCCAGCCTGTTCACTCAATAAGTAAAAAAAACGCACTAAGGACATTAGAAATTGCGACGAGTCATCTTGTAGACTGTGTGTATGGCTTTGTGAATACAAACACCCTGTGGACAGTATTATGACAAAAACCCTTTTAATCGTTAAATTAAAACATTAGGACAACTACACACGTATTTATTCAATGAATAATTAACTAAATTCTATCTATTACATTAATAAGGCTAAGACCCTGTCTAATTACAAAATGAAAACAAACTGTATTTGAAATTACTTTGATCTCTCTATTGAAATTACATATTTAAATTGCAAGATAATATGAAATTAAAATACTAATTATACATACATTTAAAGACTGTAATGTCAAAGTAAATTAAATCATTCAGTGGTGATAGCTTCCGATATAAATTCAAAGATTGATTTTTTTTTTTTTTTTATAAACTAGTTAATTTATTCTAAGTTTTGATTTTTTTAACAATTCAGTATTAGTGCAAAATTAGTACCATCTCGAGGGCGACATTAAATATAATACGTAGTTTTTAACTATACATCATTGTCGGTGAACAGTTACAAAAAAATCAATACCAAACACGATTAGACATTGTTTTAAATCATGGTGAAGAATATATTAATTTAATTTTCTGCCCTTAGTCTGATATGATGTGTTTAGCACAGTGAAATCTTAATTGATTAAATTCGAAGCGTTCCAATGTTCAAAAAGTTGTGATTGTTATCGTAGCATAAAGGGCCACAAAAATTACTTTCATAAAACATAAAATTGATCAAGATTTGTTTAAATAATGAAATGAAAATTTATCAGTCTGTCCGAGTATTAGGTAATCCACAGATACGGGTTGGAGCCTGACCAGACCGCCTCGAGGTACTGCTAATACATCCCGATTACTACTTTATTAGATTATATTAAGGTTATCCTATTTAAATCAATACTTTCATGAATTCCAATGAGAAAGAGGAGTGAGGGTTGAGATAACGTCTGAAAAAGGCAAATGGAATAGACAAATTCGCTGTGCCGATCTCACCTAGTGGGATAAGGTGTAGACCAGTGATTCTCAACCACTGTTCCGCCGCACTTTTGTGTGCCGCCAAATTTCAAAAGTGTGCCGCCAAATTTTGCGAATACATAATAATGTTAATATTATTAAATTATATCATTTTAAAAGAAAAATATTTTAAACATGAATATATATATAAATCCACAAAAAAAAATTATAGTATATTTTAGTTTATTTCGTATATTAAAATTTTTTGATAAACTATTTATGCAGTGTGTTGTAGTAAGTAAATAATGTTTATCTTTTTTTGTGTGTGCCGCCAAATTTAGAAATCGTTAAATATGTGCCGCAACAAAAAAAGGTTGAGAATCACTGATGTAGACAAAGAAGAAGAAGACTCTCATAAATTCTAATATTTACTAATCACAAACATAGTGTTGTCATATCGGGCTTATAGCATGCAGCAGGTCTTGGTCAAATCAGAGAGCATCATGTATGAAGTTAACGAATGAGTGATAAATATTTTCGAAGAAAGGATTTTTTTATGATTTTTCTTCTCGACTGTTTACCATTTCAACATTTATTTCTGCTGCTTCAACCCCTAAAGTACAGATACAAGTAGATGTACGTACTCTTATTCATTTCTATTTCCCATTTTACTAACCTATACAATATGATTCACGAGAATAAGTCGATGGTAACTTAAATAAAAAACTTTATATTAAATTTTGCAGTTCGACACGTTTCCAGTGGGCTCGTACAAGAATTTAAAAATTGAATGATGTATAATGTGCTCATGTGCTCATTGAATAACGCAGTTGATCTTGGCCTGTGTGAGCTCACACCCTCGTGGCTTTAGTTCCAGTTGTATTCTACAACGGATACAGGGAAGGTTTCGGTAGGAAATTACGCTGAAAATACTGCTACTACTACTACCACTACTACTGCCGGTTGATGGGACAGTATTACTAGTAACTAGATAAGGTCAAATAGCATCCCTGGGTCGTGTTATTCGCGATCGGACAGACTTTTGTCATATAAGATACTCTGACACGTTATATGAAGACGTCGCAACATTAGTATTTTCTTTTGGTAGGGATTATTACATAGGATTGCAACGTCTAATCCCAAGCTATGGCTATGGTCAGTGGCCAGATTCCTTGAGATAGTTGTCGTAAGTCGGCTGGTCCATTAAATGCTGCACCTCATCCCGGTTTGAGAGCTTGATGCGGAACAGCCAACCTTCCCCGTAACAAGACTTATTCACCAACGAAGGTGTAGACTCCAATGCTGTGTTCTTTTCTGTCACCTGTATATTTAGATGTGAATTACGATAGAAAAATTAAAATATTAGTAAAAGTTCATAATTTAATTTATTAGTATTTACCAGAAACAAAATTGAATGTTTATTAATATTTCAAAATGCTGCGTTGAGGTGGTTTGGGCAAACGAAAAGAGATGGTCATTTAACTTTAATTAAAGCTTTTAATTTTAAATTATTGTGGGATGCAATCAGTATTAGTGTTAATTGCATTCCGCAATCGTTGTCGACTGGCTCGCCAAGAAAACTCATTTTTAACATTTCAAAATGGCGTCATACTGCCGTTTTTTTTAAAAGTAAACCTTCTAAAAGAAAGTGCAGTTGTAGAATATAATCAGTATATAATCAATATAATATAGTCACCATCATTATCAGTGGGCTTAGTGCGAGTTTTTTAACGTTTTCGATAGCGTAAACGTTAATTCAAATTTGGATGGAGTTGGAAAGTTTGCCTACGTTTGCCGCTAGGGGCGCTGTTCCAACTGCATACAGAGTTAGCTTTTACGCTATCGAGAACGTTCAAAAACTCGCACTAAGCACGCAGGTACGGCGTCTGCTCGTTTGTCTTGTACAGCATTAAAAAATAGAATTAAGACGGTAAGAAGTTAAGTTGAGATATTGTATGTCAGTGGGATGGAATTGAGCATGTAAACAATGTAAACACTGACCGTTCCCGACACAGGACTGTATACTTCAGCTGCTGCCTTCACGCTCTCGAGGGCCCCGCTCTCGTCACCGGCTGATATCTCCTGGCCTACGTCAGGCAGCTGTATAAATACAACTTCTCCTAACGCATCCTGAAAGTACCGTATCAATTTGGTTAGCAAACAATATTTTGACTTGTTACGGGTGTCTCTGGATATTGGCATTGGAGTATGCCGAGTATACTGGTTAACTTTAATGAATCTTGGCTAATTTTGGTCTTGAATTATTTGTGGAAGTCCAGAGAAGGTTTAAAATGTGGATAAATATGAAAATGCTCGGAATTAAATAAAAATAACAATTTTGTTTTCCCTTTGATGTGTCCCCCGTCGCCGCGTCGGACGGATTCCTTTTGTTTGTTTTAAGTTTATTTTATACAAAAGTTTAGAACTTTTATTTATCGATTGAGGCACTATGAAGTCTGCCGGGTCATCTAGTCTAATATAAAAACGTCTGTGCAGTTCACACACATAGAAATGAAACAGAAGTATTCCAACTCGTTCTCGCTCTGGCTAAATACTATCCAGGTGAGGTTCAGAATTTCAGAGAGCCCATCGACCGAGACATACTTAAATATATGTACGCTTGTGTGTGTACGCTTAGATGTATCCGACTAGTGAAATGCTCCGCTGTTACTATAGCTATACGTATGAAAAACACACATTTTTTTAAATGTAGTATCGACATACAAAAGAATATCCATTTTTTATTTATATATAAATATAGATATTACATGAATAAGTCAATGACACGTTGGAAATAAAATATACATATATTATGGATAACCTTTGTATGATAGTGTTAACAATACAAATATTAAGGTTTATTACACAATATCACTATCGTACATAGTGTTGATTGTGAATAAAAGTATCTTGAATGCTAAAAAAAAAGATTGTTGGCTGCAGGCTTAGGTAATTTAGTGAAATTTCTCATAATTGGAAATGGTTAGTATACTCAAAATTCAATTTTTTTTCTATGCGAACGCTGACATAGGCGTGATACATCATTCCATACATGATTGAAATTTAAAATGAACATTCCTTCGCTCACACATTGATCAATAAATACATTAATTTAACCATTGAAACATTTGCTGAACTATTGCACTTGTTTATGTTTTTCTGTTGGAGACTCTTATTGTGAGTTCGCACTAAATGACCCTGTATTCCGTCGATCTGATTTTCATTGAGATGTAATCATGCATTCCAATTTCATGAAATTTATTGTTATATTTTAATGCAATATTAATGAATTAAATCTAAAACTAGAAAGACGGCAGGCAATCTCCTTGTGCACATGGGCTATGCATCTATGGACTACAATAACAGTTGAGCGCTAGACGGACTATGCCTTCGACTGCGACTGCACTCTATCTATTTTAGAAGTCGTTGTGGGCTAAAAGATAAGACGTCCGGTGCATTCGTATCTAGCCATGCAACGGTTTTCAAATCCCGCAGACGGGTACCAATTATTCTAATGAAATACGAACTTAACAAATGTTCACGATTGACTTCCACGGTGAGGGAATAACATCGTGTAATAAAAATTAAACCCGTAAGATTATAATTTGCGTAACTACTGGTGGTAGGACGTCTAACTATACTTAGACCTTAGGACTTATCTCAAGGTGGGTGGCGCATTTACGTTGTAGATGTCTATGGGCTCCAGTAATCACTTAACACCAGGTGGGCTATGAGCTCGTCCATCCATCGAAGCAATAAAAAAATTTATACCAAAACGTTAACTAAATTAATAGCCTAATTAATTTTAATGTTGTTCAGACCTGAGCATAATGTGATACTCCTACGGTTCCGATGTTTTCGTCAATTGACACCCATTCATGTTTCTTGGTGTAGTACCTCACTGAAAAATAAATAATTTACACATTGCAGTAATAAAAAGAACACAGTGCCTAACATTATGTTCACGAGACAGCAAAAAATGTATGCCGTTATAATACTCATCCTTATCCAAAACATAACAATACGCCACTACCTTTAACTCCACGCCATTTACATAGGAATTAAATGTCCTAATTTACATGAGTTTGAAGTATTTAATACCTTGTGATAGCGTCTATCCTACACTTAAAATCGTATGACTATTTCACGACAGAAATAGAAAAGACAGCAAAGTATTTGTAATTAAGATTATATTAGTGTTTCACTTTTAGAATATCCATTCGAAAAAACGAGGTGATTTACATGACTCGCGGGCTTTTGGCTAAACGAATAATGCAAGAGTTTAGAAGCAGAAGGTACGTTCATTAGCTAAATAATAAAAACTTACGAACTCTTCGGCATGTGTTTAAAATGACTGCTTTTTGTGAAAGTATATAAACGTATGTAGTTTAATTGATATTATTATAAAATTAAATGCGACTCAACTTCAACACGAAAAATGAAAAAGAAGTGGTAATTGTCTAATTATACAAAATTAAGTCCACCGATCACGCAACACACGATAATGGTGTCCATGAACTATATTTAATGGTAACAAATAATAAACAAAATAAGAATAACCTAAAAACTACCAAAATTCACGAACAAAATGATAAGAACAATGATTTTGTTCTTTATAATTGACAGTCGTTATCTCTCGTCTCAGAGTTGGACACCTTAAAATGAATTTAATGTAAGTCCGATTTTTCCTAAAAAAAAGTCTTAACAACTGTATTTATAACTAAAATAAAGATAAAATGAAAGGAAAAATCTTTCAAAACTTAATGAATAAAATTCTGAAACAAAATAATCGAAATAACCGTTTACATAACGCAATTCCTAATATAAAGCAAATAAATGCTTTATAATGAGCTTTGCTTGTTTACGTTAATAGTAAAAATTGAGTCACTCAACATGTAGCCTTTTATTATTGCTCTCGTAGGTAGAGTTGTAGGCAGGCAAGCATACTGTCCACTTGATAATAACTGATTAACGTCGCTCATGGACGTCAGCCATACCAGGGGCAGAGCCAATCCGCTGGCCACCAAATACTATAAGCTATGTACTCTGAATCCATAGTACATAAAAAAACACATGCTATTCGTTTGCAGCCACTTAAACTCAAAATCTGGGCAATTTTGGTTTGCTTCAACACAAGCAAACTAATTTTTTTTTAATAAAAATTTGCAAAATAATTAATATTCACAAAATCGTACCACTTATTTATTTTTATTTGGATAGAATAATATACATATGATGTATCAAGTAGTAATAAGCAATTGAAATGCTGTTATTGTTAATTTGTTTGTCCTCTACGCACGTTGTGTTTGTTTATGTGATATAGTTGAAATGATTTTACGCTCGTACATATGGTATTCTAGACGTATTCACATTAACGTGGATCAGGCGTGTACATTATTTCAACAAATGGGTATTTTTCATTAATACTTCGCGATAGTCACGGTGTACTGTGACTAGATTTTGTTAGTCAATATTAAATAATACTTTAAGTATTCCACTTCAATTTTTAAAGTAATAAAAATCAAACTTTCTTTGGCCGTGAATAAAAGCAACAGCGCTCAGCATTTTCTATCAAACTTCGGCAATGCCTTAGAAGCATAATTATTTGAGCAACGCTTATATTTTCATATAAAAAGCCATGTTTAATTTCTCCGTCACAGTTGTGATTGTGGCATGTTAAACGTATTTGGAGTGACTCAACGCACGGTATTTCGTAGGGTACACAGTGCCGTGAGGTGGTCGTGAGGTCTGAATAAACTGAAGTTCAATGAACATTTTCAACATGACATTTATATGGTAAATGTTAAAGCGAATTAAACTTACTTTTGTTTTCAGTGCTGTAATACAACGCGTGTCTGCAGCAGCCCGCGTTGTAGCCGCTGTAGGCAGATCTTGAGAACCGTGTCGCTGCACGTATTGCGCCGCTCGCTAGCATTATGGATCCTGTTTAACGCATACTGCATACAGTACCAGCTTTACTGGTGGTAGGACCTCTTGTGAGTCCGCGCGGGTAGGTACTACCACCCCGCCTATTTCTGCCATAAAGCAGTAATGCGTTTCGGTTTGAAGGGTGGGGTAGCGGTCGTAACTATACGTGAGACCTTAGAACTTATATCTCAAGGTGGGTGGCACATTAACGTTGTAGGTGTCTATGGGCTCCAGCAACCACTTAACACCAGGTGGGCCACCATTTAAGCAAAAAAAAAAGCATTGGTCAACCGAGAATTACAGTTTTTTTTCCTATTCCTAGTCCTATTTACAGTTTGATAGTATAGTGGAACTGTTGCGTACAATAGGAAGACAAGTAGACGAAGCAGACCGAAAAAAGTCACCGACCATGGGATGCTTCAAATTTTTCTTAGAATAATGACAATTTAATCTTTCAAACAAGACCTCACGATGGATTCGCGACAGCAATATGCAATATTATAGTATTAACCCATGCAGAAACACGTCCAAGAGTAAGAGAAGTAAACTAAATTTCCGGTACAAAATTCGATTGTAATTATTAGTGGACCGTTCAGATTTTAGAAAGTATACCTTTTTTTTGTGGTCAGGAGGAAATCGCCGGTCTTCCGCCCTTTTCTGGGGATATTGGGCGGGGTATGTCAGAGTCGAACAGACTAAAACCTCCTGTCGCTCAACAACCAACGTCCAAACCTCGCAAGAGGCAGAACTCATGACAAGGCAAAGGGGGGAAAGTGAAGCGTTTAGTGCGGAGCACAGCTCTCCCATCACCCTCCCCCTCGGGACGACGGATACCTAGTAATTTTTTTTTTAAAAGCACCTCGCTCAGATTCTTTTAGTTAAATCATACTTATATTACTTAGGAATCACTCAGTTGTACTGTACATTATACTGCATTCGCAACGAGCACATTCTTGGGGGTTTTTTAAATTTTGAGAACTTTTATGTATGATTGTATGATTTTACGAATATTTATATTTATGAATAGTCCTGTACGTACCTGTCGTAGAGCGTGTAGCGGAAGACGCGACTGACGCGGAGTGTCGACGACAGAGTAATGAGGAACTAAATGTAAGGTCCTAAAGATGATGTAGAGTTTATCTCAGTTTTGCACAGGGATGCATTGAGGAGTATCTAGTGATCTGTTCCATATGTTTGTACAAAAGATTTAGAAGAACAATATCTTAGATTTATTATTATTAAATTTAACACATCTAGATGCGGTTGATGATTTATGAATATTTAACTTAAACCCATGAACTAGACTGTGTTGAAGACATTTTATTGAATTGTATTTGATTGATTGGTTGACTATGACACGGTAATGAAGACCTCCTCGTTGTATGCCACGCAATGCTTATTGCTGGCTACGTTTATTAGATTATCCGTATTGTTCCCGTTATTAAATCAGTGCAATCATCAGGGTCACGCAATTGCTTCTTAATGCGCCTCTGCTCTGATTCATAAGTAATCAGTAGTCGTTCCTTGTCGTTCACTTTAACAACACTCTGAATATTGATAATAAGTATGTACAGTTTTATTATCGATGTCTTATATTTTTTTCCGTCAATATTTCTATCGTGTTTTGATGTCTATGTGATATGTGATGTCTTGCCAATGTCTACCCAATTCGAGATATGAGATCGAAACCTTAGTTACATCTTGTAACGATTGTTCCACCCTTCAAACCATGTCTGCGTCACGGTAGAAATAAGCAGAACTCTTGCACCGATCTGTGCGCGCTTAGTATTCGCCATGCCATCAGTATTAAATTTATAATTTTGCGAAATTTATAATTTTGCGAAATTTATAATTTTGCGCGTTGTAAGCGTGTCATTTAAGCCTCGGTAGACAATTTGCGTTTGAGCTAAGCCTAAATTAGTCCAGTTTAATTAGTATACCTGAAGATTTCGTTGTTTAAAATTTTCATACTGAAACAATATTGTGACAGAGCGGAGGAACGGTAAGAGCTGGCTTCCGCAACCTGACGTCACCGCCTCAGACCCATGCCCAGCTCATCCTACCACAACTAAAGTAATGAAATAAATAAATCGATATAAATACCATCGTCCGTATCAATCGTGTAGTGCTTATCGTGTTTGAGTATAAAGAGACATTAATATGATAAAGTGATGACGAAATAGTCCCCTGGGGGTCTTCTGCGTCTTGTTTATTTAAACATAATACAAGCAGCCATTAATAATTACATAATTTATGATAATAATACTGATTAAATATCAGGTTTGGATTTCGTCAACTTTAAAGTATTTGGAAAGAGCTTGTACGGGCCGCATGAACTTGAAGCAAGAGTGACTATTGAAAAAGAACAAAGATAGCTCAACCCTAATCAATTCGGCGGTCAATAATTGTATCGCAAGCGACAACACACTGACATTTTAGTAGCCATTTCTAAAACAAGAGAGTTGCTTTAATATTTGTTGCCACCTTAATATTTTTGAACTTATTAAAATTTATAACACTATGTATAATGTAGTTCTTAAGCATGTGAATGTGAAGGAGTACAAGTAGTCTTTTGTATTTTATTTTTATCGTCAAAAAAGAGTTCATGATAATCGGAAAGATATGCGATACATTTAAAAAAAGTAACCTTTTTTCAAACACATAATTTTATTTCTCAAAAAAAACGTCATAATGTTTCACACGGGAAAATTACTAAGATACTACACAAAAACTAGTCTAGAAGCTTGATGTTAATGCGAAATGTTGTGGTTCGATCATTTGTTAGAAATAAGTACCACAAATAAATTTCTTCGTGGCGCCTACATTTTAAAATTAACACAATAAGAAAAAATATATTTTAACAAAACAGAAAACAGTCGTAACTTAAAAAAAAAACTATTAAAAAAACATCTTCAAAACTTTATATTTAAAAACGCACTATTATATTAGTGATAGTTAATTATGAACTAAAATATTTTATTGGAATATTGTATGAACGGTCATCGAACATCAAATAGTTCTCTTAAAATTAAAATTATATAAAAGTAAAATCAATACAGAGTAATAAAAAACTTACATCTAGACAAAGCAGGACCACAGGACAATATTGATCATTTCAAGCTGCATTATTATCCTTGCTATATTATTATATAAAAAACAACAAATATCAAGTACATACTTTGAAAGCTTGTATTATACGTACAAGAAGTGCTTAAATGTTCAGGTCCGTCCTCTCGATGTGACATAGTAGATGTTCGTTTCAATAACAATAATATTATGAAAATGTATGCCCAGTAAAAAACATATATCGTTAATAATACTCAAGTTCGAAGTAAAAGGCGCGCAATTTGGAATTCGAAGAAATGAATAAATTTACAATAGTTTAAAACAAAGGTGCATACGAGGCCGTCGTGGCCTAGTCCGCAATATTCATATTCGTGCTTATAATATACTGCAATTTATTTAAAACATAAATAATTTTTGATGCAAAACCGGCCTACCCATAGTTTCACATATACATAACAGATGGATTTATAAATATTATTTTTGCTCGTATTGTTTTTGCCTACAAAACAGAGTGACAGTAGATTCAAACCTCATTATCTCCATGCGAACTATGGTAAGCTTAAGTCACTTTTGCGCTGACGGCCTCTTATTAGGAACATACTATGAGATGTACAAGCCGTGTGATATTATATCCCATGTCGGTGAGAGAGGGAGTGCGGCTTTGACACAGTGTAGGTGAAGACGGACCGTACATTTATTCACCTATCGTAGGTAGCAGGGCGTGGTGACGGCGCTGCTGAACACGGCGCTTAGTCCGCTGTAGGTTGCGGCCACGGCCCCAAGGACCCCGAGGGCAATAACCTCGTAGCAAAGCAATTTCACCCAGCCAGGAGTTTCTCTGGAAAATATAATACCTACATTAAAGGTCGTCATGAAAATAATATTCACCCTGACTGGTATTGAAATTAAAGTGAAAGTTAAGAGAAAATCACCGGATCCGGGGGATTTAAACCTCACCAAAAACTCCTGCTGCTCGCAGCCGGCGCCCTACCTCGGACCGGGCCGAAGCCCAGTCGAGGTCATTAAGACGGCGGGACAGGGTTGACGCAGAGCATCCATCCCGCCGTGCCCCTCAAGATTGGCATGGGTTCATTATAGAAGATTTTGAAGTGATAGATCATAGAAATTATTTCAATAGCACTGGGTAAAATTAATATTAAAAGCTAACTTTAGAAATTACTAATGATAAGACGTCTTGTGTGTCCGTATAGGTAGAAACCACCACCCTGCCTATTTCTGCCGCGAAATAGTAATGCGTTCGTGCAGTTTGAAGTTTGGGGCAGCTGTACTATACACATGAGATTTAAATCTCATATGTCAAGGCGGATGGAAGCATACACGTTATTATATCTATGGGCCTCACTACCCATTTGGCACCAGGTTTGAGTTCCATGAATCGTCTATGCAATACAAAAGAAATAAAGTACGATAACCTTAAATAGTCCTATTTATTAGCAATCACGTTAATTTTTATTTAATACATTATAAATCATCAATTTTAAATAAATTTGTAAAGAAATAATAGATACTTTTATGATATTTAATTTGAGTGGGTATGTATGTGTAGTGATAAATTTTGCTAGATCTCTTGCATTTCAGTCGTGCTGATTTCATAAATCAAAACCCTGATTGATGGCAAGCGCTCTTACCAAAATGGTTCTAACATAGTCATATTTAATAAATAAATTAAAAAAATTAAACATTAAGTCGACCTTAATTTGTGAAACCAGTACAGAACAACAAATCACCAAAAATTAAAATGCTTTTTATAAGGACTAAGATTAAAATATATCAGCAAGGCGACTGTGTATATTATTATTAGCAAAACTAATTTATAAAAAAAAAACATACATTGGAGTCTGCCCCTCTCTAGGCGTCTGGTTAATGAGGCTCAGGTAGCAGAACGAAGGCAGGATGTAAGTGAGCAGAGCCACTGTTGTGCCTCCGACCAGCGCGAGGATCGTGTAGAAACGAGGAATACTCTCGCCGATGAACAAAATGGCGCCCATGATGGAGAGGCGGATCAGGACACGCCAGCCCACGGAATCTTAATGAATGCACGAGGTTTAATTGATCAGTGACCGCATAATTTATATGAATTATCGTTAATTTAAACTTTTATATTGCTGCAGTGTCGAGCACAGATTACTTGAAAGCATTACTCAGAACAGGATTTTAGTGAATTGGGAAACACCCGCTTCGAGTTGGATCAACTGTCTTATTAATAATCTTTTATCCTTTTATATCTAAATATAGATATAGTGAAAAAAGATTTTCCTTCGTAGTTTTTCAGAAAAGTTGGTATTTATTATTCTCTCTCAAATATCTTCAGTACAATGACATTATTCATTTTGAGATTTGACACTAAACACTAAAGTTCCATATTAATGGATATGAAAATGTCACTCATTTAATACGATCATTCATTGATGATTATTCAGTTCGGGTGTCATCGTATTCCGATAAAGATCCGAGTTTTCCCGAAGGAAAATAATTTCTCACTACATCTATAAAGATAATTCATTCGAGTGTTCATGCGGTACGTTCTTCTCGAACGAATAGTTTTCAACAATCTCCTTTCCATTGCAATTTTCCAATTCTTACATATTAAACAATAAATAATTCACGTAACACAATACAAATATTCATCTGTAGTATTCATACCTCTCTCAATGTTGTAAATCTCTTCCATTTCCTGGCAGACCGGGTTAATCAAGATGATAAAAGCGAAGACGAGGTGAATGGCCATAAAGATGTTTCCGACCAGGGTCAACGGGGTAGCAGACAGAGATAAGGCCACGTTAGACCCAACTGACTCGCCGTACACAGCATAGCCTCCGATCGCGATGGGTAGGTACAGCAACAGGATGGCTAGAGCAGGTGCGATAAAGCATTTGAGACATTTTTATCACTTTCATTGGGCAAACATGCACGCGGCCTTCCTTGAGGTATGAAATCAAGTAGTAGCGGCTTTCCTGCTTCCAAACCACCACACACAAATACTTAGCAAGATGAAGGGGATGGGAAGTCTCGCGGTAGTAATTCAAAGTCCTGTTCCCTAATGTTGTGGTTAATATCCGCAGAGCTATTATCATGTAAGGTGACCTCTAACCTAGCATTACGTGTACATCTTTCTTATGTACATATCAATTGTTACTGCGTAACAAAAGGCGTTTTGTTACATTTATAAGTTTACATTTTTTTTATTCTATCTGTGCGACGCTCAGCACCACATATGTCTATGTCGATAACTTTATAAGAATACATATTTTAAAACAAAATTCAAGGTTGAAACTATTTCAATAATTTTAAAACGATCACATTTGAATATGAATGATAATGTCAGACTTGATGCTACTATTAATGTACATTATCCGTACAGAATATTGATTTACTATTAAGATTCTAAAAACTTAATTTATTTCAGAAGCGTACAAAGTCAACTAAAACTGATGTAGATTTGTCAAATTCATTACGAAATTTATTTCAGAGACTCACCCCCAAAACTGTACTGAATGCTTTTCCCAAACTGAGATTTGTCGGTCATGTCGTTCTGGATGGTTGGAAAGGTTGAGGCACCCCCAAACGCAAACATGATGGTGCCGAAAGCAAGGAAGAAATCCGTAAAGCCGTGGACACCCCAACGAAACACGAAAGGACGGACTTCGTTCATCATCTCAATAAAGTACAAGATGCAGGCAATCACCGTGGATCCGAAGGCGATTACACCAGTGAAGCTGCAAGGACAAGGTTAGAAGTTTCGCATGAACTTATAATAATTCAAAATAATGTTGGAATTAAAATAAGGAAGTTGATAAAAAAGTTGGGTTGTTTTCAATAATGTAATTAATATATATGCAGTAATGGTGCAACTTGTTAAAAAGAATGTTAAACCTACTAATAATAAAAGATTTAATAACTCACGTCAGATCCTTAGGGCTGTTAAAGAAGATAAGAGGAGTCATGGCTCCGACCACGATCAGGTACCAAGTGCAAATGGTCAATGTTGGGATCAGAGTGAGTAGGAGTTGTTCGATGATCTGAGCTGCCATCAGCAGGTACACGACCGAAGCTCCAAAGAGGGTTACAATGATCGCCATGGACACGACCACGCTGAAATTTATTTGGGGCATTTGTACTGAATAAAAGTGATGGTGGTGAAGACGGTGTAGCATTGGGTTAGGTTTATTTTCATGTATTTTTTTTATTCATTATATTATGTATAAACTCTTATTTTCTTCAATAATATCTATCTTTTTTAGTTTTTTTTCCTACGTATTCGATGGTAGCCTAAGAGGCTATTCTGGCTACGTGCGGACGGCAAGGTGAGCTCACGAGCTCAACCGGAGAGAATTTGCCAACACAAGCCCTAGCAAGAGCAGTGCTTCGTTGAATGCTAATCGGAATCGCAACATACTGAGAAAGTTCGTTGAGTTACTCAGTGGGCTGTGTCTGTGGGTTAAAGTATTATTCGAATTCTGGTGGAACATGCAGTGTGCCTTTAAATTTATACCCATCTCTTTCACGTACGTACTTATGTAACACACAGCATGCTTGTACAATATCTTCTAGTTAAAAAACTGGTTTGGGTATGTACAAACATCTTTAAAATAGATATAGAATAATATCGCTTGACAAAAGGATCACAAATGGCCGTCGATTGGCTGCTATAACTGGCCGCTCAAATATTTCGTTTGCCGCTTATGGAGGAAATCAAATTTAGTGCATCTGAATGTACATATTATGTACATATATACCGTCCCGGAAGAAGATAAATTCATAGAATTTTAATTATTTTATTCATTAATTATAATTTGTATCAAAATAAAATAATATTTAGCAGCATTACGAGTATTACTTGAAACTTAAATGTTTACTTAAACATTAAACGAGTTTCAAACAATGGATGTAAATTAAAACGCAATACCTCCAGGTCTTGCCGAGAGTTTGATCAGCAATAATAGCGTATGGGTTCCTCTTCCTGCTCCTCAGTTGAGGATTGCGTTCCTCCAGAATGGTCCAGCAGTCACCGAGTCGCTTGCCACTGAAGGCCGCCACCAAGCACATCAGAATGATAATGGGAACACCAATCCATCCTGGAAGTAAATGTTAACGGTCACTCGGAAATATGTATTCTGCTGCTTGCAGCGCAGTCTTATATCGACGATATGAATAATTTAAATGATGTTAAAGTTGTAATTATTTTATTGCTTTAATGGGTAGACGATCTCACGGTCTGCTTGGTTTCAAGCGATTAACGGAGCCAATAGACATCTACAACCTAAATGCCGCCACCGACCTTGAATATGAGTTCTTAGGTCTCCGTTTTAACAGTACTGCCTGCGAGATTCGAACACCGGCCCAGTTGCATCGCTTGGTATGAATGCACCGGACTTCTTATCTTTTAGGCCACGACGACTAAATATTGGACTTATAAATATATAACTAGTCAGGTCATAAGTATTGTCACACAGTAAAAACTTTTCTTTTAGAATGCTGACCACAAAAAAGTTTATTGAATTCGAATTTCGAATTGTTCATGAAAATAAAAATGTATACTTTTAGAATTTTACTCATTTTTAAATATGGAGTGGACGCTTAAAGAAGACCGTGTTGCAGTTATTGCGTTGCATCGTTGCGGTTACGCGCCAATTCAAATTTTTAACATACTGAAAAATTTGAATATAACCAAAAGATTCGTTTATCGTACCATCAAACGATACAATGAAGACTCTAGTGTAGATGACAGGTCAAGAAGTGGTCGCCCTCGGTCTGTTAGGACTCCAGCAGTGATAAAAGCTGTGAAGGCGCGAATTCAAAGAAATCCCAAACGTAAGCAGAAACTGTTGGCCCTTCAGATGGGGTTAAGCAGAACCACGGTGAAAAGGGTGTTAAATGAAGACTTAGGGCTTCGGGCATATCGAAGAAAAACAGGACATCGTTTGAATGCTCGTCTAATGGACCTGAGACTGAAGAGATGCCGCGCTTTGTTGAAGCGGTACGCGGGAAAAAAATATCGGGAAATTCTTTTTTCGGATGAAAAAATTTTTACCGTAGAAGAGAGCTACAACAAACAAAATGATAAGGTGTACGCACACAGTAGTGAAGAAGCGAGCAACCGTATTCCGCGTGTCCAACGAGGTCATTTTCCATCCTCGCTCATGGTATGGTTGGGAGTTTCTTATTGGGGCTTAACAGAGGTACATTTTTGTGAGAAAGGTGTAAAAACGAATGCAGTTGTGTATCAAAATACAGTCCTGACGAACCTTGTGGAACCTGTTTCTCATACCATGTTCAATAACAGGCACTGGGTATTCCAACAAGATTCGGCGCCAGCTCATAGAGCGAAGAGCACACAAGACTGGCTGGCGGCGCGTGAAATCGACTTCATCCGGCACGAAGACTGGCCCTCCTCCAGTCCAGATTTGAATCCGTTAGATTACAAGATATGGCAACACTTGGAGGAAAAGGCGTGCTCAAAGCCTCATCCCAATTTGGAGTCACTCAAGACATCCTTGATTAAGGCAGCCGCCGATATTGACATGGACCTCGTTCGTGCTGCGATAGACGACTGGCTGCGCAGATTGAAGGCCTGTATTCAAAATCACGGAGGTCATTTTGAATAAACTTTAGTGTCATAAGAATCTATGTTTTGTTAAGTTCATTTTGGTATATGAATGGTTACATAATGAATAAACTTGTTTCAATTATTTTACATTAAACATGTGACAGAATTTATGACCTGACTAGGTACTTGTAAGTATGACTAAATCATGGCCGAAGACCATGGGCCGAAGGAACCGAAGAATGGGCAGCAACATTCTCTAAATAGTATACCAGCATATTGTAGTCGGCAACCAAACAACTCTGCTAGGTTTTACCATATGAATATGAAATTGCATATGAAATTGGCGGTCTGATTTGACAAGTGGTAGAAGTATAACTATTCTGGCCATAAATACTGTTACATAAAAACTTTTCTTTTTTTTCAACTTTTTAATCATTTTGAATTTGGAATTTGAAATTTATTTTAAAAATTTCTTTCGATTTTGCGCCATTTCACATATTTTTTCCTGTTCATTATCAAATTAAAATATAGAATGGGGTGTTAAAGAAAATAGAATTGCAGTGATCGCCTTGCACAAAGTGGGTATGGAGCCGTCGGTTATACTCCAGACGCTTCAAAAGCTTGGTGTTAGCCGTATATCGTACTATCAACAGATACAACAACACTTCGTCTGTCGAAGACCAGAAAAGATCTGGCGGCCGCGTGCTGTTAGAACTACAAAGGCTGTTAATGCTGTTAAAGCCAGAATTCGTCGAAATCACATTAAGAAGAAAATAATCTTACCACGAGAAATGAAGATTCCCGCTGGAACTCTGTCGCGTATAATAAAACAAGACCTGAAGCTCGGTGCTTGTCGTCAATATACAGGACATGTTCGAAATTAATCTTTACAACTAAAGAGAGTAGATCAAAACGCCTTCTGTCGCGATACCAGGTGAAAGACACAGAAATGTCCTCTTTACCAATGAAAAAATATTCACGATTGAAGAGCACTACAATAAGCAAAATGATAAAATGTACGGTCACAGTTCTAAAGAAGCTGCTCAAGTGGTCGAAAAGGTACAACGTGGTCATCATCCCGCGTCATTGATGGTTTGGTGAGGCGTGTCTTATCAAGGAGTCACAAACTACATTTTTGTGAAAAAGAAGTGAAAGCCAAAGTGTATCAACAAGATACAGGCTTGGATCATGTTGTGAAATCTTTCAGTAATACACTTTTTAAAAATGTACCGCGATATTTCCATCAGGACTCTGCACTTAATCACAAGGCACGAACTATCCAAACCGGACTTTATAAGAGCTGAAGACTGACCCTAATCTAGTCCAGACCTCAACCCTTTAAACTTAAAATTATGGTCAGTTTTAACGACTCTAAACGACAAGGCAACGTTGAGTCTCTTAGAAAATCTTTGGAGCAAGCAGTGGTGAAATTCGTGGCCAAGCAGATTAAAGGCCCGTATAAAAGCCAAAAGTGGCCATTTTGAATAGTTTTTTTTTTTTTTCTGATACTTTAATAAATATGTAGGTATAAATTTTCATAATATTTCAGTTTTTTTAAAATGCATTCTGATTTTTAACAGAACTTATGGGTGGACTAGGTATACTACAAAATTAAGTTTTAGACCTCATTTCTCAAGTTAGGTGGCGGAATTCACGCTATGAGGTCTATGTCGTTCATCCATCTGTGCAATAAAAGAAAGAACGCCGTATTCCGTTTAGATTGAAATAGTACAATACTAGGATTGCGACTTCGGGAACAGTCTCAGAGGTTATTGAAAGTGTAGCTATGGGTCTAACACTACATCTAGCTGAGGGATTACAATAATTGAGTGCGTTTGAGTTTCTCTCGACTAGATATTTCTTAGAAAGATTTTTTTTCTTTTTGAAATCAATAGTTGTTGAGATTAGTGCTTCAAATGTCCCGTACGACATTTCTAGTACGATATAGAATAAAAAGAGGTCAGGAACTTAGGATATACGTTTAATTATTTTTTAGAGTATTTTTTTTGCATGCTTTCTGCAATACGTTTGAAATTATCTCTCTCTTATTAATTTTAAATAATATGACACTCAGGAAGACTACGGAACCCTTCGTCGATCCCACTTGCACTTGCCCGGTTTTGTATTGAATTATACACAGCTTATCCGTAAGTTATAATATTTAATTAATCGTTACTAAAACGCCTGTTACGAAATTTCTGATACTTTAATACTAAAGTATACCGATATGAACAGTTCATTAAAATCAATAAACTGTTATAAGGATATGATGATACACAACGGTTTGTCATTTAATAGCTACAAAAATGAACACCAAAATTTAACTGTAGACGGATATTTGAGTCGGACGAAGCAAAAAAAGTTGAAAAACTAGTTCCGTGGTCAGCCGTGGCGATAACGAAACTACGTTGCCCACTCTCCGTGCCAAGGCTGCTTACTGATGATTCTTGATTATTCCAAACACAAGTTATGTTGGCAGATGTATATGAAAACTCTTCATTCATTTCATTCATATTAAACACGCATGCATTTTAACATACACTCAATTATGCTCAATCTGTTGTTAATTGGTTACCATATCCGATAACACAACGTAAAAGTCAGAATAAAAGTTGAGACAAGTCGTCGAAATCAATATTAACTGGAAATAACAGCTGTCCCCGGACGTCATAAATCGGAGCGCATGAATTCTTTGCGGTAGACATAGACAAGATGGGTACCCACGTGTGCGGGTACACAATACTCCTTGCGGCACATTCTAAAAATGTTAGTTGGTTTTCTTTCTGACAGCGAACAACAAATCAAGGACAACAAGTTCTTTGAAATGCTATAATATAAAATATCAAAAATGGCTAAAGATAATGTATAATATCATGACGCAATTTAATTTTATATTGCACATAGGAACAAATTTACTTAACAATTAAATAAATATGAAATTTTGAGATGTCGTAAAGATGTAGGTACATATCTTATAAGAAATTATAAATATTTCACGAGATGATTGTGTGATTGACAAACACCCTTACTTTTATTAAAACCTTTCCAATTAACACGAGGCAAGAAACAATATAACCATGAAAACAAATAATTCTCTACTTTAAAAATTCATAACGAGTGATGAAGTTCTTGTGACCAAAAATTAGGTTGTACCAATTCTCATTAGGTATAATAATTATATTCCACATCGCAGCCCACGCACGTCAATGTGGGCAGAGTAGATGGAACTGGAAAATTTAAATGTTACTTAAGTTTATGTTATTGACGAAAAGAGAGAATCGTGATGTTAATTAATTCAAAACACTAGAGCGGTTGAGATGCTATAAAATATTCAGCAATTTGTTTCTGTTCTTGAATGATAGTAAGTAGTACAAAGAGACCAATGGAGGAATAATAGTTATCAACGGTCACCGAACACGGATCGGACTCTGACCCCAGAGAGATCGAACGCTTACGTAACAAGCAATGAGATTCTTTTAGTATAAGCTCGCTTATTGTCACCAACAAAGGAAGGAGTAGCTTTTTAGAACAAACCTAGGGGATTAGAGAATATGAATGGTTGTCGCGGACTTTTAACTCAGCTGGGGTGCTATTCGAGCCTAATAGCTGTGATTTATAGGGATAAGTTGGCTGATAAGAATTTGCGAATGTGTTAAAAATATTGTATATTCTAATGTAAGTATATTTTATTCACTCACAGAGAATAGGAACTTGTTTCATAAATAATGTTTAACTAACGTGGTAATGTCTCCTCATAGACGCGATGACCACTCGATTGGCAAACACGTTCGATAAAGAATATTGGTAATTAAAATGCTATTAATTTTTAAGATATGAAGCAACTAGTAGTCGTTGATGTCTTCTTTAGTTTTCCCAACGAGCGTATTTGGCTAAGTTGATTTCCAGATCATCGCAGCCGTGTAGCCAAATAGTCTTAGACGAACCAAATGTACAATAGAGGAATTAGTGTGAGCACTTTCTTTTGCATACAAGGTCTGGCCGTACCTTTTTTCCAAGAAAAGTAGACTAATTTATGTTCTATGGTAATTTGATCAGTCAACTGTATGGATGTACCGGATACAGTTGACTGATCAATTTTTTTTCTCAATTTCCCTTTGTTAAAAAATATTGTAGCTTAAAATCTCGGAATTAGTCTAATTGTAACTTTGTATCCGTTTAGATCACGCGTAGGCAAGAAAAAACCGATTGTAAATACAACTCTTATCACAAAATCATGATACTGTTACTGGTGGTAGGACCTCTTGTAAGTCCGCGCGAGTAGGTACCACCACCCTGCCTATTTCTGCCGTGAAGCAGTAATGCATTTCGGCTTGAAGAGTGGGGCAGCCGTCGTAACTATACTTGAGATCTTAGAACTTATATCTCAAGGTGGGTGGCGCATTTACGTCGTAGATGTCTATGGGCTCCAGCAACCACTTCACACCAGGTGGGCTGTGAGCTCGTCCATCCATCTAAACAATAAAAAAAAATACAAAAGAAAATACACTGGATTGTGATAAAAAAACCTAAAATGATTGACTATTTCCATCAGCAGTTTTTTACCGTTTAAAATGATGACTGCAAACAAAACAAATGCGGAATGATTTTTACGATCATATAAATGAAGTTACAGTTAAAATTTATTTCAATTATTGAGTATTCCTTTTAAGATTTAAGCCGTCCGCGCGTAGATGAAAAAGCGCTTTAGTCTACCAATGAATATGTAGGAAAAAAAGGTTTTCAATCAAATTTAAACGACGAAGAGGTCGACGAGGGAAATGACCCATAGACACAGCCCACTAAGTTTTTCGCCGGATCTTCTCAGTGGGTCGCAACTCCGATACGGTAGTAGATTCTGCGAAGTACTGCTCTTGCTAGGGCCAGTGTTAGCAAATTCTCTCAGGCTGAGCCCGTGAGCTCACCTACCCATCCGCGCGTAGCTAGAATTAACCCTTTAGGCTACAAGCAAATAGGTAGAAACATCTATCAATAAGATTTTAATTACTCTGATTTTATAACAATACTATTTTAATGTGGTGATATTGAAAAATGTGGAAAGAACCATTTAGTTGATGGTTCGCCGAGCTCATTACCACACGGAGTTGTTTGACAAGTTACCCAAATTAACACACGTACCGTCACCTACAGTTCAACCGGAAACATTGGAAATATTATAATCGAATACAATATTATAAATCTAGAAGGTTAAAAGAAATACATATATATTGTCACTAATACATATATATTAAGGGTTAACCTAACTATGTTTTTGACTATGTGCGATAACTATATATCTATTATATTTTTTGGCGTATAAATAAGAATCTCCCTAAGAGATATAGCCTTAATATAGCCACCGTATTATCGTACTACATATACAAATAGGTATACCAAGTTTCAATTATTACACACATTCAACTTTATAATTGCGGTTCTACGGTCAATGCTAAACAATGCTTTAATTATATTAATGGCATTTATATTATCACTGCCAAATAGATCCATCAGAATTTAATAACGACACTTTCTGATCAATACATACCAGCGGATAATTTCGTGTAAAGTGGACAAAATGAAATCCACCCCTTTTATAAAATCCAGACGGGAATTGTCGGGCAACTAAGACGACTGACGGGTTTCAATCATATTCCAGCGACCTTCAATAATGGTCTATCAGTCTACAACCTTAGTGATACGAAAATATTGAAAGAACATCATGCCATAGTTACAAATAGTATGAATATGAATCTTACTATATCTAGCTTTGACTTCACATTGACAAAAAAAATGTTTTTTGACTATCAGAAGAATAGATTTTATGTTAATAGCCAATTAAGCCCACATTTACCAAATGGTTTACATTAGATAATAGCATTAAATTAATCCAAGCAGCAAATTCTTCAATATGTAACGTATTTTGCTATTCACTTTTATAAGGGCGTGTTATATAATATTATTATTTAATAGCAAGTAATACAAAATGTACACATATAAATAACATAACAAAGAGAAACTGACACGGAATTGGGTATTGAGTATTGTTTATCTACTATTATCCTGAGCGTAAAAATCGTTTTGTCTATATTAACATATTTTTTCTATAGATGCTATATTTTAATTTAAATCACTCGACACATAAGTACATAAACAAGTTATGTATTTTGAAACTTAATGTCGAATACATTTTAAAACAGTTAAATTTTTATAGTTAGCTTATATAATATGTATTAGATTATAACAGGTTTCTGGCATGTGTTGTTGGTATTTGGTGTAGCAAATACACGATTGAACAAGATCGACAGTTTTTGTCGTTTTATTCTTGGAAATGTTTGTATTTACTAAGAATATTTGATTTGATTTCATATTGCCCCTGTACTTTCAGAAAATTTTAGCATATCCCCTGAATAACGTCTGAATAGTATCAATATAGTATCGTATCAGTATTCCTCTAATCTTTTTTATGATTAAATGATTACTGGTGGCCCAGAGGCCTTTCCAGTTTCACCAGGACAGATGGGCGAGCAAAGGCTCAATCGAGAGGGGTGGGATTTGCTAACAGCTGTCCGAGCGCCTCCGAAGGAGACCTAACAACTCGAGAGTAACTGCTTCGCGGATGAATCTACTACCGGATCGGAATCGCAATCCGCTGAGAAGATTCGGCGAGAAACTGCATGGGTTAGGTTGCACGACGAACCCCTGGCCAAGTTCGACGAGTACGGTTACCGGGGTCCCTAAGCTGGCTCCTAGTGTTAGAGCTGAAGGCGTCTAATGCAAGGATTATTGGATCTGATTGATCCGCAAGGACGTGTCCTCTAATCTCTGAACTTATTAAATGCTTGTTCAATACGTAAGCCGATATGTGACGTAGTTTTTGTTGTTTTAAATACGTGTTTATGATTCTATCTCAGCTATATTTTCACTAATTAACAGTTTATAGCGTTTCGAAAATTACAATTTGCTGTGGCGCTTAAAAATTATTTAAAAAGTACTTGTGAATTTACTTGCTTTAGTAAAGTTAGAACTGATAATGTCGTTCTCCGGAACAAAGAAGTCTTAGTAATACGTGACGCTGTGACCAAGAAACCCTTCGTGGTCAAAACTTTTATATTTAATTTGGTTTTTAGGTTAATATAATAGCAGTTAATACTATAACTGTTATTTCAAAGAATGCTACTTTGTTTGTATGATGTCCTCATTAAAGAAAATGTCATTATGTTTTATGCTCACATTTGTTTAAATCGTTCTGTAATTTTCCGTATTTTATACACTGCATCGATGGTTTGAAAGATCCTAATTGTGAATTTAATGAAAACAAAAGAAGTTCATAGAGAAGACTCTGTGAAAACTGTGATCAGTAGGATTTATTTTCATAGTAAAAGAGAAGATGAGTGGCTTACAGCCGAAACGCCTTCATGGTAGGACAAAGATATCATCAAACAGTTCAGTAAATTAAATTTTGTTCGTTAGAATTAAAATATTAGTAGTCTCTCTGTAACACGATGGACCCGGCACCCGCATGGTGAAAATATGTATTGGTAAGATATTCGTCTCTGTAACCTTCATTACTAAGTGTTTCCGATACAAATAAGTATAGTTGTGTGATTCAAAATCAAGCAGTATTCAATAAGATAGTTTATCTGCATATTATCACAACCAACTATTGCTATGGAGCTTGTGATGCAATACGAGACACCACTATTCAACCAGTGGGTACATCGATATATGATGTCTGCTCATTTTCAAATAACAATACATTTTGGTGGGTAGCAACTTACGTCTACAGACGAGCCTAGACCAACTAACAACGAGCTGCAAGCAATTACAAACCATTGCCAACAATTACACTGTTTCGTAGATGTCTTTTATATTTTGTTTCAATCAACATCATCGCTTATAATTGTCAGGCGCCTGACATTACTGAGAGCACGAACTCATATCCAAGATTTATAATACTGATAGCAACTATATTATTATACTATATTACTATTATAGTAACTATGTATATATATTTTCCCGATTTAAAATCTGTAAAAGACGACCTCTTGAAAAATGGTCTTAAGATGTGGGAATTTTTTCTGAAAACATTGAAAGTTCTAAGCGGTTACAAATGCAGTCAATAGAAAGCCCTGTTATCAAATGCAATGTAAATAGATTAGATGTAAAGAGAGCTTTCTTGAATATTCGCAAAAGCATTGTTAGCTATTTCGCAATGCTGTTAATGAATCACAAGTTTGTACAGAAAATAGCAATAGGTGATACAAGATTATACCAATAAATAAAATATCTATTCGTTATTGACTTTTTTACTCGCATATTGTATGATCGCGCCGGTCTGGTTAGTTTCTATATCTCTGAACGATGATGCATAGAACAGAAGTACGTGGTACCCGAATGGGTATGGCTAAATCTTCAGTAAGTCAGTCATTCATGGTCTCCGAATGAAAAAAAAAAAGTATTTTCTATTCAACAGATAACGTATAAAATGATGTGCTAAATTACCAGTCCTGACAAGGGCTCTAGGGAGAGCCAAGACTCCGCTGCCTGCCATCTCTCCGGCGATCAACATACTCGTCTGCCCAACGCTGAGTCCGCCGTTCTTACCACCACCGTTGCCATTTTCGCCACCCTGGTTAACATAATAAATTATATTTAATAATAAAATAGGCTTTTAATGAATACAAAAACTATTGTTGATCACGTGATCTTTACTAACTAAGACGATAATCAATAAATAAAGCAAACATCGATGCTTCTTTCACCCCAAAACGTATTTGTCTATCGATTTTAGAGAATTTATGTGTACTTAGGCAGTTTTATTGTATTTAGGAGGCCCAACAAATAGTAGACAAGACATAAGAGTAAACAACGTAATTAATGGTTTTTGTATCAATCGAATTTTAATATATATGATCTAAATTAATTTTTCTACTTAGATTGTATATATTGTTAAATAGTATGGTAACATACCAAAGCATCGACCGCAGGGCCATTCCTAAGTTCACGGCTAACAACTATGGCCACTTACTAAAATACCGACTGCGGAAGTGAGACAAAAAAATTAATAAGCATCGCGCAGTGTACCCATCTTTTTCATACAATTCTTTGGGATAATTTAGATTTATTTTTTGTATTATTTTCTTATATAATTTCTTAATTTTCCTCCTCCTAAAGTATTAGTTGATCACAAACACATTAGATATAATAGTGTATTTGTGCTAATAGTATTATAATATCAAAAGTAATTACATATCAATTTAAATAGGACTTTTTCAATTTAAATACGCAATAAAAACCAAATTTCACAGCAAAAGAATTTAATGTATGAAGCGTTATTTTTAAATGAGTCATTTGGACAAATAAATAGTAAGGTTTATACTGGAGTAGTAAAAAAATATTATTAGTAAAATTGTGCAACGAGATAAACCTATAGAGAAACGAAAAGGTTTTTTTTTTACATAGAACGTTAATTTTAACTAGCTTTTTAGTCTCATGCACAAGTAGGTATCTTATAATTGTTTTAACGTAGTTATGTAACGTTTTTCCGGAACCATTGTCCCGTATTTCAAAAAATTGCATAACTTATAATATTAAAAAGAACGACTCATTAGTAGTCACAAAATAGCAATGGCGACACCGCTTAAAAATGCACCCATTTACAATATTTTATAAATCATTGCGATGGATATATGTATGTATGTCTTTAACAAAGAGTAATTCTTGAATTCCTACATAATTCTGCTTATTGGTGAAACTGTATTCCGAATATTTGGTAATGTCATAAATATTTGATTAGCACCAGTGAAGGTCTGTCTGAGTAAAAACATTTAAATACAAATTGAGTTTCTAATATTAATATAAGTATATTAATAAGGTAAATATTTTTTCTGAAGCCTGTTTGGAATCTACTGCTAGATGTTCTGAATATATACCACAGCAATGTTTGTAAATAGTATTAAAGTAAAAGCGAAGAATCTTCATATTATATCTATACCTCATTTCTTTTAAAGGTAAAAAATTAGATAAACCTAAATTAAACATATTTTATACACAAACACGAGCTTCGGAGAAATTTATAAGCACGAGCCCTTGGAGTTTGTGGTTAACATTGAACCGAACTTGATTGTTCCACATTCAACTAAAATTCAAGACTTAGTTACGTTTAGTTAATCGTGGAAAATTTCCGCTCCGACATCCATTTTAAGACAGGTTTTGTATAATTTAATTTTATAGGTTATTTTTATTTGATTATATTGATTTTTACCGTATTGGATATATATATTTTTTAATTAAATCTAAATTTCTCGCAACGTAAATACTAGTGGTTTTTTTTCCTTAAATAGAAAACATTTTTTCCCACCTAGTAACCTCGAGGGGTTATTCTAGATTCTCCGAGCTAATAGGCCAGCTCATGGGACTCAAACCGGGGTGTTGTTAACACTGGCAAGGGCAGTGCTTCGCAAAATCTACCACCGGATCGGAAACGCGAAGATCCGCTGAGAAAACCCGGCGAGAAACTCAGTGGTTAATTTACTCGTTCGACGTGGATGGTGACCGAAAGCAAACAAATGGGACGTTAGCAATGTTAAGAAATTTTTTGTGTCTTTATCATAATTTTTCAGCTGTAATGTAATCATTCTTTCCATACATTGTTCCAAAGCAAATGAAGACTTCAACTTCCACCACGACTGATCTGAGTTGTAGTGTCCACAGTCGCTCAGCATTGGAACCGCGCACATCAAAGCAAACAGAGCAAACAATATAGCCTCTCCTTTACTGCAGTGGTACCTATTTTATTCGTTTTATAACTAAACTTCTCACAAACCTTCGAATTCGCAATAAAATAAAGAAACCAGACACCGGGCTGCACATACATAACTCTACGTTTAGCAGATTTTTTATGCGAAGCGAATACGAGATATGGTTTGTTGGTCAAGTTTCAGTTATTACGTGTATTATACCTATTATGCATAAAACGTTTTTCTGATGCTGTTTGCATTTTCCATGTCGTTAGGTGATTGTTACCCGAGTCCATAGCATAGCGTAAATGACATCATCCATCTACAGAAAGAGTTATACTAATAATTTTAAAATTATTTCCATTGTTACTGAATTTGTACAGTTAAGGGTGCAAAAGTGTTCGGAAACTTGGTATACTATTATATATACCACATGTTTTTTTTAAATCGATTCTCCGGGACACCTGCATATAGCATTTAAGCCACGTTTCAGACTAAGTTCGTTTCGGGAATAAGCGAGGACTATAAAACGAACATCCATTCAAAAAACATTTAGCTTTTCTCCCAAGAATTCTGTATTTTATAACTGGGGAATGACAGGATATGTGACTTAATATTAAATATATTTTTTACTATTCAAGCAGTTTGTGGTCGTCTATATCTAAAGTTTCATCGAGTATCGTCACCTATAGCCATGGCGGTAGCTATCGATAAAGAAATCCAAAGAAACCTTAATTATGGCAGTTTTCAACGTATTCTTGGATATAAACAGGTTCATTCAACATTCGAGTCTTCGGACTATCAAAAAAGTTATTCGTTCGAAAAATCTTACGTTTGATGTTTGAATAAATAAAATTTAAAATTGATGAGTGGTAAGTCTAATTTTATCAACCTATTCAACCTTCCCGCATTCCTTTTTGTTGGCAAATAGCTCTCCAGATTACCCCTCTAGAACTTGACCCGTTCAATAATCCGTGCTCATAAATATCGATCACATGCGAAGCAAAGAATGACGAAAGTGCAAACAAAAGTCATCATCATCATACGAATAGCGCGCGGTGAACTATTTTTCATTAGGATAATTTAATTAATAGACGACATTAAAATATCATTGTAGACATCATAAATTACAAAAATTTAATAGTTTTTTTCTAATTACAGCCAGTTGTTCGAGTAGTAAATATATATAAAGCTTGATTGTTAAAAGTTACAAAAAATTTAATAACGACTGCACAATTAAAATCAATCAGTATTTAAAATACTCTTTGTTGTCAATACCGCTCAACGCTGATAACCTCCCGTTAGTAATGCAAAAAATCACTAAAACGCTTTTTGACATTCCGGCGAACACAAACTTGGAACCCCGTAATTTACTTCAAACGTTTAGTGGTTATCAAAATCATCAAATCAATAATAAAAGTTATGAAATTTTAAAGTTTTTACTAGGGTTTGGACATTATTTACTTTGACGATTTTCCACAAAGAAAATTCTGATTAAAATTTAGTTCGCGAGTGTGTATATTGAATGCGTTTTCCTCTAGGGTCCACTATTACTTTTGAGTACAAAAATGACATATTATGTTGTATTTGTTGATTAATTTTTAAAGGAGGTAATAAAATATCTGTGACCACGTGGCGTGCGGAAAACGCTTACGTTACTTATAGATTCAATCCTGTCTACTGTCGAATAAAAGTTTGGTTGTTAAATTTTAAGAATGTTTAATTCATTAGTACCTAACTGGTTTGAAGTTGCCACGGGACTCATTCTTCTGAGAAACCAAACGAGTTACTGTTTTTTAATTTAAGTATTTAATTCCACATTATAGTACATATACTCGTAGTTACATATTTTTTGTTTTCAAAGTCAAAGAGCTTGTCAAGGAAAATTACTATTTATTATTTTAGCATTCCTTACATTTTGAAAATAGCTCCCTGTACCCACTTTAATATTCAGTCTGGTAACTATGACTAGTTTTTTTTTAACCAAACATAGTCTACGAAGTGTTTAAGGATTTTAATTTTATTACAAATTTTGTTTAAGAATTTTGCAATCGTGCGATGTTATAATAAAGTTAGTCTCTAATTGATAGTACACGTATAAATAAACACAGGTAGTCATTGGAAATGTTCATGCCACTATACTTAAACATTATACTTAAAAAGAACAATAAAATAATGGAATTTACGGCTTTTTTTGTGTAAAATTACTTTATACAATTCGGTACAATATACTACCAACGCTTTTTTAAAGCTGAAATACCTATTTGTGAGAAGTGGACACTGAACGATTGATTTTTGGACAGTTTCTTACATAGCTTCTTTACAGTTATAGACTGCTTTGTTTAGTAGAAACTTATTTTATTTGTGATGTATTAGAATTCATTTATATTGAAATACTATACAATATTTAATTTTGTCCATTTCTTGTTATACCGTGCTTGCTGTAAGTGAACACTAATTTTCCAACAAATTGATCTGGCAGATTATTACCATTGTGGTCTTTCAATTGACTCCGTATGAATTGTATCATTTAAGGGCTACTCTGCACTATAATATAGAAACTGATACATTCAATTTTTTTACATAAACTCGCGATTTTAAAAATAAATAAATAAATGAAACTTGTAGCATAAATACGTGTACAACAAAATGTTGATAGGTACCTAACATTTTTAAAAAAAAAACTACTTTTAAAGAACGTTAAATTTAAAAAAAACACAAAATATCAAATAAATATTTCCTACAGCGTAATGTTACTATTTAGAATTGCACAATTGGTATTTTTTTATCTTGTCTTTCAATGAATCCACTTACTGTTAAATGTGTAGGTAACACACCGAAAGCATATATGTTAAGGGCTCAGTTGCAATAGTAGTATTTAGCTATAGAAGCAGTCCCTAGGGATGATTAATTTTAAAACTTACCTTTGTAATGAGCGGCGTAGTCTCCTTCGGCGTCGGCTGACTGCCGCTTGGTTCCTCTAAACCGTTCTTCGACATGTTCTAAAAACAAAAAAGGAAAATTTAAATAATAGTATGCGTTGACCCTTAGGGACAGCACTCAATAAGTGGTATCCTGTTGTTCGAAACGTGTTCTACTCACAAGATATTGTGTTGTCTAGTAGACTAGCGGTCGACACTAGATCGCTGTTACAACTGAATGACGGGCCTCGAAGCAGTCCGGTCGGTTTTTTAGCTCTAGTTAGGTGCTTATGTTACGGAAGTTGCGATTCTTGAGTCGTAGACATTTTTGATCGACATCCCAAGCCATAGAAAACGTCTATTTTAATTCTATTCAGGTAAGTAACTATTAACACTAAGTACATAGCTAAGATGAAATTTGTGCAATACTACCTTCTTTTAATTTTTATTCAGAAAATAAATGAAAAATAATAATTCACATGAAAACACAAAGTTTTAATTCTCTGTTGATTTAAGTCGCTGTTTTAAGTTAATATGCAACTACCTCTAGAGAAAATATAGATAGAATTACGATAAGTTTTCAAACTGGATATTTTGAAGAGTTATTTTTAGAGGATTTTATAAAGATATCTTTGAAAATGTTATTAATATTACATTAAATAAAAATCAGTCAACAGTATCAAATCGTTTTTATATTTATTGGTAGGTCCCTCAGTTGATCTTATAGTATGCAGTTACGAGATCCAATACACATCAATACTTCCCACTACCTCCCCATTAGAATCAATATTCGTTTATAGTCTTGGCTGAACATAAGAGTCTTTATCCTCCAATCTTGTAAGGAATAAACAGAAGAATTATGACAGGAACTAAAAACATTAGTACGTTGTGAGCCCTACAAAAAACGCCGGGGACATAATAATATAAACACACTCTCTTGCGTAAAATTCAAATAATTTATTTTATATTTCTTATTTTGATCAATACTTTAATTTACTTCACAATTAGCGGTGAAAAAGGGAATCGAGGTAGTTGAACGTGATCTTTGTTTAGTGTTTCAAGCTATTTTATTTACTTTCGACAAGCTTCATACCGTGAAATAACGAATCTCAATATAACGATGTCCTCGATTTAACAAATTCTTCGTTATCCTCTTGAATTGTCCGTAAAAGTCTATTCTTTCTTCGAGAGATTTCTTGCGAACAACCTATTTGTAACTAATTTTTAACTATCAAAAAAGGTGTAAATATCTCTAATTAACGAATTTTCTCACCCCAAAATCTTTATATAACGTTCCCACCAATAAGACCCTTAATCCCACAGTATGTGAATCGGTCTCGACAGGTTTGAACATAATTGTTACCTACCTACCTAATTGTTTTTAAAAAGCACACAGTAATTTGATAAAAATGTGTTTTCATTTATTAGTAGAAGATGTTCGCTATGACAAGATGAGTACGTAATGGTGAGGTGAATAGCTAGGCTAGATTTTTTTTTACCTCGTTATGATAAATGGTTTTACCTCAGTTCACCGAATAACTTGATATAACGTATATTTACTTTTTGCCTTCCGATTTGTTATATCGAGTTGCACTGTATTATTATTACGTTAGTATCGCATTTGAAGAAAGGAAAAATACATTTTCAAAATTCAGAAAAAAATAGACATTAACAAAAAAACCTTAGTAGGGTGATTTTTTTAAATTATTCGTTAATTAAAATTCACTTACTCAAAAAGTAAGATAAATTACTTATGTTTCATGTGAAAAATATATTTATTAAGAATATTACTCAGAATATTCTTACCCACATTAAAAGTATTGGCCGTATAACGGAATGGAAAGTGCGACAACCATAGACAAAGACTAGTACAAACCTACAAAATTGTAGAACCACGAATAATGTCGAATGCCAAACAGTGTAACATAACTATTTGTTTTGGCCCAATAATGCATTACTAATGCGAAATGTCAAAAGTTACCTGTGCTAAAGTCTGCACGATATTAGGATTGCAGAACAAAATTTATTTTTTTCCTATTCTTATAAAATAAATCATCGTGTAGATATTTTATTTAAAAACATTAGTCAGCTGCGTGTTTCAGTAATATTTGACAGCAAATTCCAGGTGCAAAGGTATACATTTTTACTTAGAATTTACCTACCGTCATTTAAGTTTCGAATAAAACGAAAAAGCCATAAATTATAAAAACAAAATTATTGATATAATTAGTTCTAGGGCTACTACATAAGAGTCTGCACTTCCTCTAAATTTGTAAAATTCCTAAGCTTATTATGTTTGGAAAATAACCATAGCAATTACTGTGTAAAACATCTACATTTTATTATTTGTTTAGCATTATAGTATTAAATTCAACGATGATAAAAACATTTAAGTCCATTAATGTTCCTGGAACTGGTGCTAAAAATATATCAAAAGAAAAAATATAGTAATTTCATTGTAGATCCTCTCTTACAAGCATTTATTATATCACAAAATGTGGGTTGGTCAATAAATTGTTTACGAGATAATTGATATTTCAACATTCCAATATCAAAGACTGAAACAATTATAATTTCTAGCATAAAATTTCTTAACAAGCTAAATTTGGAAAATAAGTATGTCAAATTACAATAGTTATTAGTAAATTTTCACAAATAAAAAGCTATATTAGTGGTACAAAAATTTTAGCTTGCTTTACTTGCACCCAAAATGTTACAAATACTAGGTAAAATAGACAAAATAGTGACCAAGCAAAATTTAAATGAGTAACTTGAAATTTCATAAGATAAATTTTTTTCATTTACCCATTATAATTTTTAATGTAGAAAATGCTGTTTTCAACCTCATTATCATTTCCAATTAAGCTATAAGGCATTCAGCTACTCCAAAAATTTGGCTGTTCGTTTACACTAAATATTTTAAATGAATATTGTATTTTTTATATGTGCTTGTTTTCCCTATTGATGTAAAAAAATCCTCAACAGCACACCATGAACATGCGCAACACAATGTAAATTTTGGGAAACATAAACAATGTATGATCCCATCATCTACCTGTCATCAATAGATTCATGTTTTGGAATTTATTTTAATTATGACCTATAGCCCTAAAAAACAATTTATTTAATAATATACATCATCCTTTTTACATGTAAAAGTCTTGACACATGAGGTTGGATGTGTACCAATTGTAATGAAACCCTTTTATTTGGAATTTTACATAACTCCTTTATGCAAAATCATTACTGCAAAGCGTTCACAATAATCAAAACCTCATGCTATATTTTGCTATTTTCATATAATTTTTGTAATATTTTAAGCTTGCTTTGCTTATGTTAGCGCTGCGAATTTGATTTATGGTTTAATTTTTAGGTTGTCAGAATTGGATTTGTTTGTTCCAGATCAGAAGAAACAAAATGACTGCATCTATTACATTAACTGAAGGTAATAGAAAATGAATTTACAACATATTATTGTATTGAAGCCTGACCACCCTCTTTTAAGTAATAACGTAAATCTGAAAAAAAATATTTAAAAAATTAGATAATTATAGATAAGATAGAGAAAAATATTTAAAAAATTAAAAGTAAACATTGTAATTTAACTTAATATTTCATAAACAATATTGACATTTTTATTTCTTTATCAGTAAATTGCTTAAAAGCCTTTAATGACAATGTCCAAAATTGTATGTTTCTTAACATATTTATATGACATATTTATTTCAACATGAATTGTTGAGTGAAACAATGACTAGTATGAGAACTAAATTTTGATACCCTCTTTGAAATGTAAGGATAATAATAATGCTTTTAGGTTACATTTAATTCATTTATTATTTTACAGCAGTCTAGACATAGATAGAAGAAAAGTTTGTCAATATGATAACAGCAGATGAAACGGACTCGGTTGGCACTTTACCTTCGGATGGACACCCAGAAGATGTTGCAGGTATAATAATGTAACATAACAACAATCACTTCGTTTAGGTAGGTTGAGAAGGATGAACTAAATTAATTTCTAATATCAATTTCACTAAGACTGTATAACAAATATATTTACTGGCTGAGCCCATGCTCGCCCATCTATCCGCCTTGGTAAAACTGAAAAGGCCTCTGGGCCACCAGTAAACCCTAAATTATAAAAAAAAAACATATTTACTGTTGACTTTCACCTTGAAGGAACAACAACATGGATTGAATAATCTTAAATTTCAGTTGTCGCATATGATAGAGCATATTGTGAGCTCTACCTGTACCTCTACATATCATTACGCTGTCCTCTCTTATTTCTGTAGTAAAGCGATCATTCTTTAAGGTAAAGGTTTCACTGGTATGATGTCCCACTACTGGAGGAAGGAGTTGTGGTTTAAATTGTTATAGTGTTGGGTCTCTTCACCAGAAAATTATATTTATTTAAGGATTAGCTTTTATCATTATTGGTTCAACTTACTTTACATACCATAATACATTTGAAACCTGATACAAGACATTGTTGCTAAGTAGTCTGTTACTAGAAATTTAGTAATTTGAGAAGATAGACTATTCATGTTTTATTATAGTTATGAGTTTGCTGTTTTGTACACATGCCTCTTGTCAAATGAGCATATAATAATTAATTTGGTTTGTAAAAAATTTAATCAGAATAAATTAGGTGAAAACTGCGCATTTGGAATATAACTATGTATACGCGTAATACGCGTATTAATTTTGTAATCGGTCTTGGCACTGTTCCAACCATCAGCATACTTAACCCTAAAAAGCTCTACAAAAACACAGCTTCTGCCACTGAAGAGGCCCCTTCATCCATGGTCTCGAGCGAAGCGGAGTCTGAAGGTAGCATCCTCTCTGAAGCACGACACGACACCTCAGAACATTACGGCGCCCAATCTGATCTAACGATCGATCATGGAGGACTAGACAGAAACTTGGCACAGAACTCCGGGGACTGGCGGAATGTCAGCAGTGCTGGGACTTCGTACGTGTCCACTAGAGGTAAGATATGGTGACATGGCTACGTTTAAGCACATTCCTGTCAATACAACATTGATTTGTAGAAAATTCTATTTGGCATAAGTAATAATACTACGACAAGCATTACTAAGTCTTACTTATCGTGCAGTGATGATTTGTTGTTCATGTTTTCTATGACTAATATTACTAGGACAAAAAGAACACTTCTCAACATTCTTCATTGATTAAGAAACAACATTGTAGTAGGATAGTTAGATAGTAGGATAACTAGATTGTTTGAAATTCAATTGTAACTTCCATATCATTTCTGCCCATCAGGATGTTCTATGAAATTTCTCAATTTTTCTCTAGTATTTGTTTCATCAAGGAAAACTTGGGAAAATCCATTAGAAATATAATTATGAAATTTTACAAGTATAATATGTGGATATTATTTTATACATTTGTGTACAGAATGATATTTAATATGAATATCAGTATCGATGAGAGCTTAACAAAGTAATTAAAGGTCTCATGCCAGTTTTGTGGTCCAAGCTGAATGTCATTACTGCGTCTTGTTGAAAAAGTTTTAAAATTGTGTGTGTTATCAGATAAAAACTTCATAAATCATTAAATCTGTTTTAAATAATTGAGAGTTTTTCTGTTAGTATGTAAACCATGATATCCATGTATCAATTTGTAAAACACAAATTAAAAAGAATACAATTGTTTTTTTATTATTAGTTTTTATTAGCTTTTATATTTTATTTTAAAAAGTCCTTTTAAAAATTGGACCTGCAAAAAAACTTTCACATACAATCTTGAAGAATGCAATACGCTGACTGCCACAGAAAATTTAGTCATTGTTGCTTTTTTTGGCTCCGACACGTATTGACGTATCATACGTGTTGCTACGCTTTGGATCGCTCGAGACGTAATGTAACTGCGGAATAAACAATATTCGAAAACAGCTTTGTCAAACAACACTATTCACCAAAAATACTCACGAAATAAAGATACGTATATTGTAGATGGCACCATTAAATATGGATTACTGAACTATATTATACCTTCTGTAGCTAATCACTTTTTTCTCATAATAACATTCATAACCATGATCATCCATAAAGCAGATAAAATGATATTGATAATTTGCAACTAAACTTTCAGTAATTTTAACGGTACTTATTTTAATCGACTTTGAGAACCAAATTGCGCGATGTCAATAACATTGAGAGCCTGCTTTTCATAAATGTCGATAGAGTTCGGACGTGTTTTTTAACACATAATTATTTTGCATTCTATTATAAACTACCCACCGTCAGCAAAAATTGAATGAAATAATTATTTAGTTGCTTATTAATTTTACCGTCACGAATAAACAGTTTCGTCTTGTTTAAAATATTTTGACAATATTTTCAATTATTAATCATTAATAATTCCTGCTTCGTTTGAAACAGGAAAATCGAATTGGCTTACTTTAATATCATAGCACACGCAATACTGGTATTAACACAACTCGACGTCGATATAAAAATGAACTAAATCACAAGATTAAATTGTTGATTTGTAGTTTTACATTGTAAATATTTAATATGGACATAGAGAATGGTGATGTACTTTCGAAAATATATCAAGACAGTGGAAAAATAGAATTCAAGATTGTAACTAGAACTTTTTACATTCCTAGTTCACTGCCAAAAGTTATCAGTGTTCCGAATGGTAAGAAGATTTATCTTACTTAATTTTTAAGAACTCAAAAGTTTATTAAAGCTAAAAAATTCAGGTTCAATGTTACCATGGGGCACTCAGAAAGGACCCGTGATTCCACCACCTGACTCTGACCTTCGACCCGGAGAATACGTGATGAGGTTACTCTTCACAGAATTCACTGTTCAAGCTGAAAGGAAGATGGAAGCTGTTATGGCCGAGCCGTTGGTGAGTTATATTTTTTGAAGTGAACAATCTGGGAAACAATAATCATACTCGAATAATGATCTGTAACACTTATTTGTTGAATAGTTGAGTCACGAGACTCATAGATAGTGCTGACAGATATTAATAAACCTGTAATTGATTTTGTGAGAATGAATAAATAAACATTTTTGACATTAAACAAAACGTATACTATATAATCACAAGATAGTTAGTTGGGTCAGTTATTAAGAAAATGAAAAGGTTACTCGTCCTGGCTAGCTGTTGTTTGTAGTAGAACCCCCGTGCCTACTTAATTTAGTAAATTAGTAGCAAATTTTTGTTAGTAGATCAGGAAAACTACTAAGCTATTTCATGAACAATCAAAACATGCAGTACCAATTTCTTTTTTAATTGTATATCATTGAGTAGGTCGTTGAACTAACTCACAGCCCACCTTTTGTAAATCGGTTACCTAAGCCCTTACATATCACAACCGTCAACGTGAATGTCGTGGACCACATTGAAAAATCATCTTTTGGTCGAATTGAATTTGGTATCGCCTGTCGCGCCCTTTGACTTGACTGCTTTTCGGCAGAAATAGGCTATATTGTTAAAAATTACCCGAAAGGGTTCACACTACGCTCTAGCTCAAAAAAAAATCGATCGGTGATTGTAGTACGGTGGTAATATACATTCACCAGGTTAGAGCCTCGTGAGCTCACCTACTCGTTCTGTGAATATCGTATAACCCCTCGTGATTACTAAAGTAGGTCTAAAAAAGGTAATATACTCATGTCGCTGTTTACTTTGGGCATAAACCCCTTAGCCATCTTTTACGATACTAAAAGAGATAGGGAAATACTACTGGCAACCACACAGAAAAATATATTGGATAGGGGTTTTCTTTTTCCTACCTAAGCTGATGGTCTTGAGAGACCATTTCAGCGTAACCTTAACTAGTAGGTGAGCTCATAGGGCTCAAACCTGATGAAGATAGGGGTGATCCTTACTCTCATACACCTACATCTATTACTAGCTCTTCAAACTTAAACTAGGATTTTCGCTAATATGTGGCTTTCAAGTTAAAAAAAAGCATCATATTTTGTTATATAGAGAATACTGATTTCGAGTCAATTTGGTAGGTTGCTGCTGCCTTTAAAAAAATCCATAGCGCCGTGTTTTAATTGTTTATTATACGAATATAATTTATAAAATTGTGACAATTATTTATATCTTCCTAAATTATTGCGCGTAATCAATATTTGTAGAAAACAATGAAAAATATAAAAATAGATATATTTCGAAATAGTTATTACATTATTTAATATGAATTTCATGAATGCAACTAACCTGGATGAAGAGGATTTGGAGTAGCGATGTGTTGTCTATCGATCCTGAGCTTTCGTTTGCAACGCACTGATTATTCTGCAGGAAAAACCATTGAACAAGACTCTTCAAAGGGGGGAGGACCCTCAGCTCGACCAGATACTGTCTGCTTTCGGTACAGTCGCGGAGCATTGTCTACCTTCGTTGTTACGGGCCTTGTTTGGTTGGCTCGAGAGACAGATGGCCGACTCGCCGCAGTTGAGCGAACAGGCTAAGAAGCCACATCAAGATCTCAGAAACAAGAGGTATGTCTGTTTTACTAATATGAATACATCATTTATTAAAATTAAATAACCCGTTGAAAGTGTTTTATATTTAAATTCACCGTAGTATTTGAATTATTCATTCGATTTATATTATTTATGAAGTATCTTTAATGTGTGTGTGTGTGTGTGTGTTTTTTGATAAACTTTAATATTATAAATATACTAATTTAAAAAATAACATTAAAATATTTTAGTATTTTTGAAATAATTTATTTTCAAAGTTTATGGAAATAAAATTCCATTAGGTGTTTTTATTTAAAATCGTTTTTTTTTTTTTTTTGCCGTATATAATCATTGCCGTATAATCATTTACTGCAGATGACATTTCGATTCTGACGACACATTCTAACAACCACTTTTAATTACTTTCTTTCCGTTTTGGTAAAGATACTTAGTTATTTTTAGCAGCATCCGTTACTTAACAAAGGAGCTGATTATAATAAAATGCAATGTAAATTTTGAAAAATTTGAATGTATGTGTGCAGCATAATCTACATAGTGTCTGGAAGCGGTGCCGGTACAGAGACCGTGGAAAGAACATGCGAAGAGCTGCAAGCTGAGCGTCGAGACCTGGCCGTCGAGTTCTTATTCTGTCTGGCTCTGATCGAGGTGCTGAAACAGCTTCCCTTCCACCCTGGACACGAGGACCTAGTTCACTATATCGAGAATGTTGCTTTCAAGAGATTCAATTATAAAGAAGGGTAAGAACACATTGATTGCATATCGACGGGTGACAAGGCTATTTGGTTTAAACGACATTTTTGTAACTTTATAGGAGAACTATTTAAAATTTAAATTTTGGAAAAAATATTAAAACATAAAATCGTCTTTAGCTATTTGAATGCGGTAAACTTAATTGAAGTTCAATTAAAAACATTGAACTGTTGATGCGAATACCAAATAAAACGCATCTTTAATTACAAAGATAAATGTCGCGTATTTACCGAAATGTCGCTTAAACCAAATAGCCTTTCACCTCTCGATATAGATTAGTTACATAAAAATATAAGTCATGTAAAAATATCATATCATTATGAACTAGTCAAACCCCGCTGGCCCGATATGTTGGCCAATATTTGATTTGACTTTAACTCGATCGCTACAACACGAGCACCCGCTAGGTCAATCTGAAGAGTTACTGAAAAAAATATCATCGAATTAAAAAATTGAAGAGCCAAATCACATGAATATCATATAACCAAAATTCACGATGATGGTCCAGCTCACCTACAACACGAATTATAAAAAAAATGCATTTATTTCAGGCAACTCAAGTCCATAAAATTTCACATAGGTACAATTACATGATATTTAAATTAAAATAAAATAAAATTATAATTAATATTTACCAGAATTGTCTATTTGCCTATTTCTGCCGTGAAGCGTTTCGGTTTCGGTTTAAAGGTCGGGGCAGCCGTTGTACTGTTGCAACTGAGACCTTAGAACTAATATCTCAAGGTGGGTAGCGGCATTTACCTTGTAGATATCTATGGGCTCTAGTGACCACTTAATATTAATTAAGTCGTGAAGTCGTTCACCCTCCTGAGCAATCTATCTCTATATATATAAAAAATGAATTGCTGTTCGTTAGTCTCGCTAAAACTCGAGAACGGCTGAACCGATTTGGCAAATTTTGGTCTTGAATTATTTGTGGAAGTCCAGAGAAGGTTTAAAAGGTAGATAAATATGAAAATGTTCGGAATTAAATAAAAATAACAATGTTGTTTTTCCTTTTGTTTGTTTTAAGTTTATATCATACAAAAGTTTAGGTCTTTTATTTATCGATTGAGGCACTACGAAGGCTGCCGGGTCAGCTAGTAAATAATAAAAAAGAATTAATAAAAATAATAATCAAATTAAATATAATCAACTCAGTAATATATATTTTTGATTAGATTACAATCGAACCCGAATGCGGCAAACGCCCACATCATTGCCGATTTGTATGCGGAAGTGATCGGGGTACTGGCGCAATCTCGATTCGCATCCGTAAGGAAGAGGTTCACGGCCGAACTGAAGGTAATTCATTGTAGCATTATAGCTTACTTCAGTTAATTGAACTAATTGTTGATAAGAATTGATTCTTATCAAATTATCTCAAAGTGAAAGGGATAGTTTTGAAATGGCATTAGCACATACAATTGATGCCTTTTCATAAAATATGTCTGTTGGTAGTGCAGTAGCATGGATGACGCTGTGTACTTCAAGAAGGCCAAAGACTATAGCTTTGGGTGACAGCTATCTTATGGCTTTCGCCGCAGAATTATGTAACGATCTGGGCAGGTTAATTTAACACTAGATCGGTCATCTAGATCGGTTTCTGCTGAAACAAGAACTTCACTTACGGTATTACTTGGTATCATTTTTCCAGCACTCTCAATACTCTTAAATACTAATGCCAATCATAGTCAAAGTAATAATGATTATAAAATTACTTAAATTTTCTTGCCAATTGTCCAACAATCTAGTGATTACTTTAAAAGAAAAGTATCGAAAAAAATGGGATATGAATAGGAAAACAAGAATGTGTGGAACTCATTAGTTCAATGAAAAAAACGTCATTATTTCATCATCACAGTCTAAAATATGAAGAGAAATTATTATTGGTATGTACATTCTATTAATCCAAAATTATATCCAGGAATTGAAAAACCGTGAGCCGTCCCCTCATACAACACAAAGTATAATATCATTACTGATGGGTATGAAGTTCTTCCGGGTGAAAATGGTGCCCATCGAAGAGTTCGAGGCCTCGTTTCAATTCCTCCAGGAGTGCGCTCAGTACTTTCTCGAAGTCAAAGACAAAGACATCCGACATGCCCTGGCCGGGCTGTTCGTTGAAATACTTGTTCCCGTTGCTGCTGTGAGTATATTAATACGTAAAGCAAAAATTTTGTACCAGTTTTTATGAAAATTGCGCGGACAAAGGACTATGAAATTTTCCACACTTATAAAGTACATAGAGGAGTGCAGAGTGTTAATTTTTTTTTTTAATTATGGAAAATATACCTTAAATCAGTAAAAAAAAACAATACACACCTTACCATGTATTTGACACAACACATATATAATATGTATTGTCAAACTTTTGTTATTTTTTTAAATCTATGGTCAAAGAATAAATTAATATTATTATTTGTTTATAGTGTAGTCTTGGCGAAATCTTTGATTATAGAAGTATATAATAAATAGTCTGACAATAGAACCGTAATAATGTTCAAACTTATAATATCAATTAATTTTATAGTCGAATTTTGACTACTTGTAATTTTAAGTGTGCCTCTCGTAATAGGCACACTATTAACATCTAAGACCTTGTTATATGATAAAACCTCAAGTTGTACAAAACACTGGGTCTCAAAATACGGTTTAATATATACAAAGTGTTTCATGGTGATGATGATGATGATCTAATAGATGTTAAGCAAGTTGTTCTTCTATTTTATATCATAGACGGTGAAGAATGAAGTGAACGTACCATGCCTGAAGAACTTCGTGGAGATGTTGTACAGTCACACGCTGGACGCCAGCACCAAGTCCAAGCACAGGCTGGCACTGTTCCCGCTCGTCACCTGCCTGCTCTGCGTCTCCCAGAAGCAGTTCTTCCTGGCGAACTGGCACTGCTTTCTTGCCATGTGCTTATCGCATTTGAAGAACAGAGATCCTAAAATGTGCCGTGTGGCTCTTGGTGAGTGAATAATCTTTTGAATGGTTGTACATACTTCAAGTAACAGCGTATCGATTTTAACAACATTTTGTTTGTCAACAGAGTCGTTATACCGTTTGCTATGGGTATACATGATAAGGATCAAATGTGAAAGTAACTCGGCAACCCAATCGCGACTGCAAAGCATCGTCAACTCGTTGTTCCCGAAAGGATCCAAGGGCGTTGTGCCACGCGACACTCCACTGAACATATTCGTCAAAATCATCCAGTTCATTGCCCAGGAAAGACTCGATTTCGCAATGCGTGAGATTGTTTTCGATTTGCTAATGGTAGGAAGGCCTATCAAGATTATATTGACCCCCGAGCGAATGTCGATCGGTCTGCGAGCTTTCTTGGTTGTAGCTGATAGCTTACAGCAGAAAGAAGGCGAACCTCCCATGCCTCGAACGTCCGGTACATTACCTTCAGGCAACACTCTGAGAGTAAAGAAAACTTTTCTAAATAAGATGCTAACCGATGAAACAGCGCGCTCTATAGGTATGAGTGCGTATTTCCCGTACGTCAGGAGGGTATTAGTGGAAATACTAAGGGCTCTAGATGCTCATTACGGAAGACCGTTGATGCTAACGAATACACAGAACGTGACTAAAGAGCAAGAAATCAATACCGGTGAAAGGAAACCAAGGATTGATTTGTTCAGGACCTGTGTTGCGGCGATCCCAAGGTTAGTACTAGCAATATAATGACTATTTCATGATTATTTTAACTAAAGTTTGAAAATAAAATTTTGTGTTTATAATCTTCATAAGTTTTCTTTATAGCTCTAAAGCAATAAAGAAGTTTATAGAAAACATAAGGGACACTTTTTTGTTTGTTGTGAATATATGTATTTTTAATAGCCTTACTATGAAACAATCATGTTTAAAATTTAACAGTTCTATCATATAATTTTATAAAATGTATTTTACATCTCAGGTTGATTCCAGAAGGCATGAGTCCCAACGAACTAGTAGACTTGCTTTGTCGTCTTACTGTTCACATGGACGAGGAACTTCGAGGCCTCTCATTTCAGAGTCTCCAGACTCTGATCGTAGATTTTCCGGAATGGCGTCAAGATGTTCTGGCTGGTTTTACGCAGTTCTTAGCTAAGGAAGTTCAAGTGAGACATTTTAGTTCACTTTCTGTTTATTTTTCATTGCTTATATTGAACGAACTCACGACCCACTTCGTATTAAATGATTACTGGAGTCCATAAACATTAACAACGTTAATGCCATAACAAATCTCAGTTTTACAGTACAATTGCTCCATCCTTTAAACCAAAACTCATTACTGCTCTAAATCAGAGATAGGCCGAAAGGTGATACTTACCCATACAGGCTCAAAAGACTCTACTACCAGTAATTTCACAAATTAAATTTTTTACAAGTTTTATATTTATTACCCGATGTTATTCCTTCATCTGCATCACGGAAGTCAACCTAAATAAGATTTAGTTCATATTCCATTACAAAAATTGTTACCTGTCTGTGGGATTCGAACTCCATTACAGTCGTATCACTCGACGCATACGAGTACATCAAAAATCTTACCGTTTAGGCCACGACGACTTCAATTTCCTTCTGTTTAAAATACCTCATTTCAGGTGTTTTGTTTAGATACTGCATTTATTTGATAATTTCTGCTTACTCTTAAATTTAACAATTTGTTGTAGGACACAACACCTCAACTAGTGGAAAACGGTCTCCGCATGTTGCTGCAACTGGTGACGAGCTGGAAGAACGGCGAGCCGACTGTCACTGTAGCTCCTGCGAAGACTGAGCCCCTGGTGTCCGTGGTCAGAGGAGCCGAAGCTCTCGGGCTGGTGATGCTGTGCCAGTGTAGAGCTTACCCGCGGAGGCTAGCTGTCCATGTTCTAAGGTAAGAATTTCTTGCCTTAAACTACATCAAAGTTCAGGTACCACCAACATCAACGATTGTTACCGGGATAAAATTATCATTGTTATTTATAATTTCTAAGTATAATGTTTTGTAGTATAATTTTCTAATAGTATAATTTTCACTAATAGAGAAACGAAATGCCTCCTCGAGAAGCTCCAGCTGACGCGCGACGAGCCCGCCCTCATCGACGCGGCAGACGCTCACGTTCCATACTTCGCGGAGAAGTGTCTGCCGCTACTGCCGCCAGCTGAGAAACAAGCGATATTAGCAGCCGCCCAACCGGACCTCGTCTGGATAGCTGAACGTAGCCACGCCGTTTGGACTGCAGGTACTATTATAGTTCAAAGAATATATCAGAGGGACTCGGTGAGTAAATTAACCCACAGACACCGCCCACTGAGTTTCTCGCCGAATCTTCTTAGTGGGTCGCGTTTCTAATCCGGTGGTAGATTCTGCGAGGCATTGCTCTTGCTGGGGCCAGTGTTAGCAACAATCCCGGTTTGACACCCGTGAACTCACACGCTGGGGTGAAACTGAAATCGACTCTCAAGGCTATCAGCATAGGTAGGAAAAAAGGGACGAGCACGAATGACTATCGAAAAAGTATTCGTATCGCTATCGAGCAAAAAATGTATAGGATTTGAACAGCGCCTCTACCGTCCGTAAATAGAACTAATTTCAGCAGCACGAATAAAGTTACTTAGTTTTGTTTCGCAATCGAATCGTCATGTTCTCGATAATCGAAACTTATACTCATAATCGAGAGCACGAAAATCGTTTTGACATACGGTAACGTAAGTCTCGAAGTCTGGCTAGCGAGTAGGTACTACCATCTGCCGTTTAGGTATCGAGGTCTCGATACATTACAAATTCGATATATTTTCGACTTGACGTACAGTTTAGTCTTAATTATAGTTTTCAGTTTGCGATGACTAAAAGAACTTGATTAAAATATATTTAAAAAATTAAATAGTATCACTTTTATTATGGGTCCTGTATAAGAATATGTCCTCTATTTTTATAATTTTAAGATAAATATTTCCTACAGGTATCCAACATGATGAGACTTCAACAAAGAACAGCTGGAGTGGAGGAAGTTCGTCTAACGGAGCTGATCCTTGGGAGGTGAGGTTTGCAAGATTACCTTTGAATACTACTTAAGAATTTGTAGTGGGCATCGTCATCAGGCCTAGTTCTATTTCTAATGATAGAAAAGCTCTTCTAATAATGATGAGGAACCATTGCGTGACGAACCGCCACATTTAATGAACATACAATTAAGACATTATGATTGAAATCTTAATTTAGTTTGTTCTAACTTATAAATAACAAAACGTTTTTGCAATAGAAACAGAATCGACCTTAGTATCAGTATTCAATAAAACGTATTTATTTTATGATGATTTCAAAAATGGTATCGACCTAGCTTGTCCATCTATAATTAAAGAACTTTCCCGTTATAACTTTAAATGTGATAAGTACAAGATCCTAAATTTAAGATTTGTTATTAGCTTGGACCTAAATTTAAGATTTGATAAAAGCTCGACATAAACTTTTCCAGTTGTAAAGTGTTCTGCATTTGAATAAGTTGGATTGGGATTAAAAAAACAATAAAATAAAATATTATTAATTACTGTGGTAGGACCTCTTGTGAGTCCGCGCGGGTAGGTACCACCTCCCCGCCTATTTGTGCCGTGAAGCAGTAATGCGTTTCGGTTCGAAGGGTGGGGCAGCCGTTGTATACTGAGACCCTAGAACTTATATCTCAAGATAGGTGACGGCATTTACATTGTAGATGTCTATGGGCTCCGATAATCAGTTAACACCATATTAATGAAGCAATAGTAATAAAATGCTTTCTTTGTATTACATCAGGTTGTGTTGTTCGGTTTATTGGAGCGCGGCCGCGTGCCGGCTCGGTGTCCCTCCACCGTACTGCAGGCGTGGCCGATCCTGCACGCGAGGATACACGCGCTCTTCACCATCATCGAACCAGCGTAAGTCGATACCCAGTGCAATACAACTTTATACTAACTTTATACTGCTCCGTAGGGGTCACCGTATTCTAGTTTTCTATAGACAAATCATTACGATAGTTTCGTGGTCGTCGCTTAAAGGATAAGACGCTGTACTCGATATTGAATTGACGTGGTTACTAATTTGCCTTAAATACTTAATTACTTATAGTATTTTTCGTAAAAAAAAATTACTTTACATTGTTTTGTACTTACTTGTGTTTGTTTAAATGTAGCTTCCTTAACAAAGTATAACATGTTCCAATAAAAAAAAAGATGTGGGGTTCGTCGGCCACCGGATAGGTAGTTCCTATCCTATCTATCCTAGTTACTTATTATAAAAATATTAATTTTAAGTTCTATTCGAGGTATAAAGAAAATAAAACTGGAGGTTTCGCAACAACGCACGGTCATTCGGTAACGTACGAACTTATTGTGGTACACTTCATTCACGGTTGTTTGTATGAGTTAGTGTATTGCGCAAACGAACGCTCTGAGATCGTGGTCAATGAATGATAAAAAAATATGTTCTTCTTTGTACGTTATTACAAAGTTAAATCGTACACTGTGTGCATTACTAATAAAAATCTTACGTTACGGAGGTTTTTTTCTGGTTAGGTTACCCCTCCGCATCGTCCTATAAGGAACTTCGTTCCAAAAGAAAGTAGTAATTTGCTAAACTCAAGTGCATAACGATTGGTCGGTCTGATGCTGGTGTGCGCGTCACTCCGCAGGTGCCGGCGGAAGATCAGCGCCGCAGCACCCATTGTTTCGTTACCGTTAGGTATTGCTGAGCCGGTAACCGTTTCCAAGCCTCGTTATTTTTCTTCTTTTGTATGTTTTTATTTTTTGTATCGAATTTATGTTTGGAATAAATGTTTATTATTATTACTATTATATGGCGTATGTTGGCGGAAACTTTCACTCTTTAATAATATAGTCTGTAATAATTATATACTGAATATTTTCTTTACAAGAAGAAATTTACTATTTAAAACCTTTAAAACTCTTAGTTTTATAAAAAAAGTGTTCAGTTTTGAATAGTAATAAAAAAAATGTGTGCGTGTACTAGTGTACACACGTAAGAAGTGAAACTTGTTTATGGCCTTATTTTTCGAAAAATGATCTACATGCAACTTTCTAGAAATTGGTTAAATAAAGTTAAATTAGATAAAGTTTAAACAAAAGGATTTTATTATCATAGACATGAATACAAATAATACAATTATTTCACTTTACCTTTTTGCTACTAAGATTATTACAGCATTTTAATAATACATCTCTTTGATATCATAATACCCTGGTACTTTTCTTCCTATAAATTAATAATAATAGCACGGTCCACGTGGTGTTAAATGGGGTTCCTGAGGTTCGTGAAGTTTGACCCACCTTGAGACATGAGGTCGATTTCTCAAATCCGAAACCATGCTTCAGAACATACCGCCGTTAATTATTAATAAATCTCTTTGCTATCATAATACCCTGGTACTTTTCTTCCTATTATTTTACGTAATAACAGTAATAAATAGCACGGTCCACGTGATATTATTAAGTGGGCTCCCTGAGATTATTGGAATTACAAAATGATTTCCGTAATCCACCTGGAGACATGAGGTCAATTTCTCAAATCGGAATCCATACTTCAGAACATACAGCCGTTAATTAATAAAGAAGGCTGTACGTCAGAGTAAAGTTATAATAATACATCTCTTTGATATCATAATACCCTGGTACTTTTCTTCCTATTATTTTACGTAATAACAATAATAGCACGGTCCACGTGATATTAAGTGGGTTACCTGGGATTATTGCAATTACAAAATGTATTCCGTGACCCACCTTGAGACATGAGGTCGGTTTCTCAAATGCGCATCCATACTTCAGAACATACAGCCGTTAATTAAAAGATGGCGCGTAACGGAAAAAAGTGACGCGTAACCGAAAAACGTGACGGTAAATTTTTTTCCAACGCCGATAAGGAAGTTTCACTTCAATAAGTTATATTAATTTTAAAAGAGTTTAAAGACTTTAAACGTTATTTTCTTATTATACATATACCTAACAGAAAATGCAATCAAATATTTTATTGTGGAGTATTCCATATCGTTATATGTAATTTTGCGTAATTGCTAGTGTGATCTTATGATTTTTTTTACATTTCATTGATTTATTTTTTATTTAATTTTATTCTAATGTTTTTTTTATCTATTTTACATTGATGAAATTCAAATGATAAGATAAACTAACCTAACATAAAGTAACAGATATGATCGTACATTCTAAGTATCACATCTTGTAATTGCTTCTTTTCAGACCAGTCAATGATAACCGTGCATCTTTATTGTCACGAGGACCTGCTCTACCCAGAAAACCTGAGAAAGAACGAGACGGTTATATGCAAGTAAGTTTTATGTTTCGAAATATTTGACAACTAAACATTTATTTAATGTCGAGGGATGAAAGGTCATTCGGCTTAAGCGACATTTTGCAACATTACAAGAGAGCCATTTAAATTTTCAAACTTGGAAAAAAACTCTTAACAAAAAAAATCATCAGCTATTTTATTGGAGTAAACTGAATTTAAGTTCAATTAAAAACATAACACTGTTGATTCTAACACCAAATAAAACGTATCTTTAATTAAACAGATAAAAATCGCGTATTAAGCGAAATGTCGCTTAAACCAAATAGCCTTTCACTCTTTGATATGGAAAAATACTAATTAATACAGGAACTTTTAATATATAATTTTTCTTATTTCCCTTTTTTTAATATTGCTTAAATGGATGGACGAGCTCACAGCCCACCTGGTGTTAAGTGGTTACTGGAGCCCGTAGACATCTACAACGTAAATGCGCCACCCACCTTGAGACATAGGTCTCAAGTATAGTTACAACGACTGCTCCACCCTTCAAACCGAAACGCATTACTGCTTCACGGCAGAAATAGGCAGGGTGGTGGTACCTACCCGTGCGGAACTCACAAGAGGTCCTACCACCAGTGATTACGCAAATTATAATTTTGCGGGTTTGATTTTTATTACACGATATTCCTTCACCGTGGAAGTCAATCGTGGACATTTGTTGAGTACGTATTTCAATATAAAAATTGGTACCCGCCTACGGGATTCGAACACCGTTGCATCGCTAGATACGAATGCACCAGACGTCTTATGCTTTAGGCCACGACGACTTCCCTTGTAGGCAGACGAGCATAAGGCCCATCTGATGGCGAATGGTTACCGTCGCCCATGGACATCAACAATGTCAGGGGCAGAGCCAAGCCGCTGCCTACCATTAAAATGCCTAAACGTGAAGTTTATTCTAATCGATTAATCGCTTCTGCAGGTATGGAAATATTACATGACAATGGCGTACTTGGTGGTGCCGGCGATACCGAGTCCGGTAATAAGATGTGCCAGCCCCGACCTCAGCCTTAGGTATGTCAGAAAACAATTAATAAATTTAATATTGTTAATACAATAATATTTTTTTCTATTGTGTCAATCGACAGCTTAAATACAATTTTAATACAACATATTATTAAAAACCACATTATTAAATAGCAGTGTTAAAATAAACAAATATCTCTGGCAGCGTTTGGGATATACATATATAAAGAAGATAATGTTATTTTATTGCTATTTGTACTTAAATGAATGTATCTAAGCTCTCGACCAATCTAAATCCAAATACCGAATTAATAATGAACGTGACTATACGTGGTATACGTAGATAGTGAAATTGGCTTGGAATTCAAAATTAATTTTTCGTTTCGTTTTTGTGATTGGCAATGATTTATATTTGTTTTTTTTTTATTTATTTAAATCAAAATTTCATTATTATATTACATTGTATGCGCTGAGAAAACATAGAAATATAGCGTATGTTGATTTGCTACATCAACCACTTTGCTTATAATCGTTAACGTACGTAATTAGAAACTTCTAATTTAGGTGTAGTTGTGAATGGTCAGTGAGATTAAAAATATACTATAGTTGCAATCTCGATAGAGTTTACCCTAAGCTATTGAAATTATTTCCTTTTGTACTGTAAAAATACCTTGTTATGGGATGCATATAAACGCTTATAAGTAAAGGGTTGGATATGAAATGGATTTGACGTGATGATTACCACAAATATTATTGTTATACAATAGAGAGCATGTTTCTAAACTTTCTTATTTACAGTGTCCCCTCCCTATAATCAAATAACACGAACAATTATTGCGCACACTATTTTGATATTTTATATTGATACGTATTGTATACATAATATGATGATATGTATAATCACTGACAGCAATCAGACAAATAATCTATATGTATATTGTACATTTTACGACAGGGATTGAAAAGGTTGGAAAAAAAAAGAATATTTTACAAAGACACAGCAGCTAATGTCTGCCTTGTTTGCTAAATAATCAGCTGTAAGAAAGATTATATAGTTGTGGTATACATAGAGATAACATTGAGAGGAATGAAATGTAATTGGGAATCGATATGGAATGGTAGGGGATAAAATATTTGGGCGTGCAACGTTTGTCCAGTTGCGCGGAAGCTGAAGGTTGGGGCGGGCTGCCCACGCTGAGCTCGTCCAGTGAGAGCCTCAACGCCTCCGGAGGGTTCTTCACGCTGCCATTGAGCTATGCGCGTGCGCACAGACAACACAAACGAACGAGGTGGACGATTGTCGCTATGTGCACGTCGCAACATCGATATCATCCTATCTTTGTATCGATTCCACCTTTATACATCATCGTTTCGTAATAGTCATGTTTGTGTAAAAACTGGTTACATATGGAAGTACTAACTACCATTACTGATCATTTATGGAATCGATACAAATTCATGTAAATCGTGGATAATAATTACAGTGTCCTTTCAATAAAAAAAAAACATACAATTCTCTGTGTGCATTTATCAACCATCAGATCATGTTTATGTGCACAGCTAGCGTTTAAAGAAACAACCTCAATAATTGAAATGTTAATTCAACGTTTCTACTCGTATACATTAAGTCATGATAATCAATAACGATGGGGACTATGTAAAATATCATAACAACAGTCACGCATTCATATCCACGACCACACACACACATTCATACTGTATTTAACATAATATTGCGATAATTTTTTTAATTATTACTTTGTTTAAATCACTAGATTTCATTTAGTTTGATTACCAACACACATAGTATACTTGCTATAGTTAGCATGTTTTAGTATCCATCAATGTGCAAGTTATTTTGATTCTTAAACACTGTACAGAGATTGAATCGTACTATTTTCTAATTAATGTCTTCCATAGTTTGCAATGTCCCAATTTTTTTTTGTTTTTTTATATAAAAAAAATGTTTTTGTTTTATTATTTACTAAGTAATTCTTTATTATTTTTTACTGATTGTTTTTTTACGATTGAATTTAATCCTCACCGCTGCAAATTATATGAATTGTTTCTTAAATTCACTTTTTTCTAGTTTTACTAACGTCGATAATGTTCTAAATTTTTTCGCAATATAATTAATCGACATTGGTGAAGCTCGATGATTCTTCGAATAATAACAATGTATATGAGTTTTATTTTGCTCGGACAGTGCACTCTTCTTGCCAGCGTGTCCAGATACACTGTGGGGGTAATATGCACCACTTGTTTGAGTTTGAACCTATCTTGTGTCTGTGTCGATAGTGACGTCACCATTAGATGAAATGTACATAGTTTGAGAAAACCAAAACAGTTGATTCTCAACCTTTAATTCACTGGCTTAGAACTCGTAATACAAGTCGTTTTCGTGGTCATAATTTAAATGACTTAGCATGGGGTAACTTAACTTTACCTTTGCTGAATATTATATGTCAGTAAGATGTTGTTATTCACTTTAAAATTATAAAATATAATTTAATCGTACGAACAGGGTTGAGAATAGCTGAAATTAATGAAAAAAAACATTGTACAGCACGCTACTGAATGCAATAGAAACTGGCACAATTTGAATAACTATACAATTTTATGATATACAGAATATACATACAAGAATATACTATACTTTTATTATAAATGTTGCGAAACAATAATTACTAGTTTTAGTTCTAAACTATGGAATAATTTTAAAACTCAGTAATCAATAGTTTACCAGCATAAGGTAATGTTACCAATTATTAATCAAATATTTGTACAGAAATTGGCTAAAGCAAAACAAGAAACTTGTTTAAAACAATTACGTTCGATTTGTATCATCCTGTGTCCATCAATTTCATTTTAAGTATCACGTAAAGTTGTAATCTGGTAAACGATATCATTATCGACAAATATTAACGAACATATTCAAATTGTTCGGTAAACTTTATAATATTTCGGCTAAGCTTCGGTTGGGATGTTTGGTGTAAGAATACCTCACTTCTAAGCCATGGTCACACTACATATTTTCAACTTCTGTGTTCCCTTTGATCGTGTGTTGGTCAACAGACTCTTACTCACAGTCAAGAGCACGAACATTTATTTTGAATGATAATAAACTATAGAAAAAAAAACAAAAAGCACTAACATATTATGTACCTACATATTTAATATCTGTTAGCGTTTTTAACAAAATTAAGTTATTCTTGTCCAACAGACTAAAGTGTTTCTATTAATACAGTCACTGATTCGTAGACGGTATCGTGTGCACGCCACCTACCTTGATATATAAGTTCGAAAGTTTCAGTATAGTTATCCTTTTTTTTCATATACGCTTTTTACCTCTATGTATGTAGGTACATATTATGTATCAATTTTATTCATCGTTTTCATCTAGACCCGAGGAGAGCAACAAAACGAATCCATGTATGACTCAATAATTGAACTAAGGTCACCATAGTCAATAATTTTAGACTGTAAGAAAGTGCATATTGTAATTTTTAAAATAACAGTCTATCTCTAGCTTTCTGGGAATAATAGTGCTAAAAGAGTCCATTGTACCTTTGTGATTTAATTTAACTTAGTTACAACAAATACGACACAGACCAGCTGTAAATATGTTTTTTTAAAACCCTTTGGTATGTGAGGCTTGGTCTATCACCCACCAAGGTCTACTATCCATGAGGCTACTTTACAGCTTACATCCTTCATTTAAAGATTTCAAAACACCATATAGAGTAATATTTGTCGGTACTGACTCGTGACACTCAGAACCGTAGTGTATCATTAGGATGTGTTGCATCTGTGCTGAGCTTTTTCATTTAAATGTACGTACTCGTATTATTTATCTATCAGTTCCGCTTGTCTTACAAAAACGCATCGTGTCGTAGTAACGGAACATGTTTTATGTGCTGATATTGTCGTATCGCTTTCATTTTTGAAGCTATTCCAGGCCATATTTTGTTGCATATTAGATTACGTTAATATCATAAAGTAAAAATATTTATTTTAGTTGCATTTGCTTGGTTTGATTTAAGTAGTCTAAAGATGTTCGTTCGATAATGAATATTTTGCATAAAATCGGGAGTCTATTCAATTATCGTTTTGTGAAAGCTTGAATGTTAATTTTCAGTTACGAACGGAAATCTCTTACGAATGTTTTTTCGTATAATTTCTTGTGTCTACTCGGAAATGTCAGTCAGTAAAACAATATACGTTTGCTAAGTGCAGTCGGTAGTTTTCGTAAGAGATTTCAAATAGTGATTGCAGATAAAGAGATCGCTACAATTTCTCGTAAAGCATTAAAGTGGCCTAATGTAAATCGCAAGTTAATCGGCACAGCTCGTCGCCGGACTCGCTGAGCGAGCGCAGCGGCGGGGACGGTCGCGGGGCTCAGGCGTCGCCGGGCTCCCTGCATAAACTGGCCGTGCCGCTCGCCCGGTGCGAAGTACCGGAAGTCAGGGACGCAGCGATTTCGGCCTGCGGGAACATCAACCCTGATGCATTCAAGTAAGAATTCAACTTCAGTTGCCACGCTACTGTAACCACTAGGCTAATCATTGATTTCCCTATTTTAATGTAGACAAAAACTAAGAAAGTAGTGTCAACCGTTTGTATATAGTGCGTGTCAAATAAAACCTTGATCTGTCAAAGTTAGATAAAAAAGTAAGGACAGCAACAAAAAAAATTCATCTTCTAATTTTTAGTGAATTTTTTGCCTAATTATGAAGACTATTAATATGTCTGTTTTAATGAACCATACACACCTATATAATTTTCTTGATAAAATTTGATGAAAAACCACCTATTTAAAAATCACAAAACACTGTGGGGCCCTATAATCTATAGATGGGTGACGATGGTGGAATCGGCAAACTCGAAGATTTGGACTATAAATTAATATTTGAAAATTCCTACCTTTCTTTACTGACTTACCTATTTTTTCGATTTGACAGCTATGACGTCACAGTATGGCGCGGATCCATGCGCATTCTTATTTGAAACGCATTATACATTGTCATACATTATACTTGGCAAGATTCAAATTAACGTCCATTTGCTTATACCCAATATATATTTTAGAAGCGACATGTAATGTTACAGATACATTCACATAAATGATGAAATTTATGACAATAAAATAACGTAGCATAAAAACATTTACAGTGTAATAAGATTATTTCATAATCACATACCAATGATCAAAGTTAATTCCCTAGAAATAAATGATTCTTTCTGTTCGCAGAGATCTAATGGAAGAATTATTGCCACTACTACGAGAAGCGGTGGATCGCAAGCAAGAGAATATGAGACGTCGTCGTCGACGCGACGCGTTGCGTCTTAATCTAAACAAGATGCTATTGTTGATAGCTCAGAAGAAGACATTCGCTAACAGGTACGATCAGATCACCGGTTTTGGAAGTTCTTCCAATTAAAAAAACTGCTTATCAACACTGTAAATCAAATATTCCCACATACTTAATACAATCTGTATCATAAAGTTGTAATATTATGTTAAAATTCTTTATATTATCACTGTCTCGATTCAGTATGCCGCTACAGGACTGCTCTGTGAACGGTCTCGCTTTGATGAATTAGTAGAATGATGTAAAACGTTACTGAAGACTATATATATAATTAAATTATTACAATTTTTACAATTACAGTTTACAATTTTTTTTTAGTTAAAAATATTAATATTTTTGTTTTTGGTTGCAATTGCTTCTTTCTGGCGACCGATAATTCATTGTGATTTCAATTTGAACTACATTAAGCAAGCTATAGTGCTAATCTCTCTCTAGTGTCAGTTTAAAACATGTATTAAGAGCACGAGTGTCTCATTACGCATTCAATAATTATATACATAGGTAATAATACACTCCAGTATCCAGAATTTCCCAAGAGAAACTTCAGAACTCACTAACATCCTTTAATTAATTAAGCGTCATATTTTGGTCTCTATCTTATGAGTGACCGATTGATTAACTTACCTGTCAGTTGTGTTCGGCGTAGTTACTACAGTTTTGGACCATCAGTCAACAGGGATGGACATATAGCTTATTTAAAAACAAGCGCCTTGTGCTATCAATATGTACGATAGTAAAGGATGTTGTATGAAGTATTTTCTGTGACAGTGCATCAGCATTAGAAAACGGTGGTCTCCACACAAACATCGCGGAGTATCTGGACGGCGTCCGCCAGTGCTTCGAGGCGGAGGCGGAAAAGGACGCGCCGGCCGCCAGGGAACAACGGATCACCTTCGCTGATTTTGTCACCGAACTCATAAAGAGTTTCCCTTGTGAGTACGAATCTATTGTAACTTACTTTTATTTACTATTTATATGGGTGGATAAGGTTGTTAAGTGTTAAGTGGTTAACCGGAGCCCATTGACATGTACAACGTAAATGCCGCTACCTACATTAAGACATGAGATGTAAGGTCTCAGTATAATTACAAAAGCAGCCCCGCCCTTCAAACAGAAACGCATCACTGCTTCACTTCAAAGATAGGTGATGGTATTTACTACCGCAGTCTATATGACTGTCACCGGAGAAAAATATTCTCGCGACTTGAATTACTACATAACCAATATATACTGAAAATTCAGACTATCTGAATAAGTAGTTCATCCATAATATTTAAAAATAAAAGTAATAATGTACTCAATTTCCTTGAGATTTTCTCTATCTACCAATGAAAATGAAGTCTGAATCAATTGAGACGTGTCAGAGATTATCTGTATAGAAGAAGAGGAAGCCAAGACAGACCGGTCACGGACCTAATAATATGTTGCCCGGAACTCGTATGTAATACAAAAATGTCTTGAAATCTACCGTGTTTGGACTCAACCTGGTTTTCTCATAATAATTATATTATAGCAACCTCTGCCCGGTGCATTCGACAACTTATAGCCTTTGTTTTCAAATAACAAACAAACCTTTTGTATAAATCTCACACTGCAAAAATCTAAATAATAAAATGAAAGTTTAATTATGTTTTTTTTTTATCCAGTGGAAATGTATGCGTCGTTGATGAAGAAGGAACTCTGCAAAAGTCTGTTTTCGTTGTTCAGCGGCTGGTGCGGCCCGCTGGCTAAACACCTTGGCTCTTTGGTACCACAAATCACAGCACAAGAAGTCGATGAGAGATTGAATTTATCTGCGCTTCGAGTAAGTTCTGTGGGAAATATAATGCTATATTGTTATAATCCACATTTATTATTATTGTTTATAAATTTTATTAATACGTTTATCTTTGAACACAACCCTGGCGTAGCGCCGGGGTTTTCACACATATGATCTGTTACAATGAAAATACAATACAATTCTCGCGTTTCCGATCCGGTAGTCGATTTTGCGAAGCACTGCTCTTGCCAGGGCTAGAATTAGTTACACTTCCGGTTTGAGCCCCGTGAGCCCACCTACCTACACGTCAAGGCGAAGCTGAAATAGCCTCACAAGGCTATCAGCATAGGTAGTACTTAAAAATATAGACTTAGCTTAAATACTACATTTGCTTTATTGATTTTTTTTAAATAAACGACACGATGATTGGAAAAAAACATATCATAATTGTACGTCACGAGCAGACCGGCCATTATCTTCACTACAGATCACTTGCAAAAACAAGTTTTGATAAAACGTATTTGTTGAACAGGCAATGAGTGCATTAGTTTGCTGCGGGCCTTGTTTCGCCCCCGCCGCACTCGCAGAGGACGGAACCCTGTACCCGTGGCTCAGTGAGATGCTGTCCTCTACCAGCGACAAGGTATCATTATCATTTTAGTCTGTGTTTATTTAAAATCTTATTAACGATACATATTTTTTTTTAAATACATTTTATATACAATTTTTAAAGAACACTATAATATAAAGAAATTGTAGTCGATGGCGGTGTCTATGACACAAGCCACCAGTGGTTTGGACTCCAGAGTGAGAAATCTCTTCACAATAAGCGCAGTATCGAGGATGATAACTGCCTTCTGTATCAGGCCCCTAACCCAGCTGAAAGTTTCTTATGGTGTTGATCGAAACTTCGCTATCAAACCGTGTACCGACACAATTATTGGAACAATAATGGTTGAATCAACATGCCGCATGGCGTTAGTCTCGTGGGCCAGGTTTAAATATTTTATTAATTTGTACTTTTCTGCCTTCATGAGGTTCACTTCATAAGGAATGGTTATATCAACCAATACTGCTCGACGCGCTTATTACAATAATTATACTATAGTAGAAGTTTGATAATTTTAGACTTAATTCAGAATTAAATTTATTTAAAGAGTCAATTAGAGTAAAATAGATATAGACCAAAAAAATAAAAAGGTCGCTTAAGAAAAGATTGAACATCACGAATCGTAAAGTTAAGCGATCGGAGTGTGGGGAGGATGATGATTAATCTGAATGTTTGTCGTCGTCGCGGCCTAAAAGATAAGACGTCCGGTGCATTCGTGTTGAGCGATGCGACTCCAGTAAACAGAATAACATTTGAGATCGACGATTCAATCAAAATTTCATAAACAGTGCCATCTAAAGTTGTTCAGTTTCTAATTGACTCATATGTTTCAGGTTTACGAATTAGCCCGGGAAACGATTGTACTCCTTCTCGATTGCAATCCCGACATCGGGCCCCTGCTGGACTGGACCGTCGATAAATGCTTCACCGGCACTTCGAGGGTCGCCGATGGTTGTTTCATGGCACTCGCCACGATTTTCAGCACCAGGTTAGACATAACTTTTATTCACCACATCAGTATCAATTGCATTTAGCTCTCTGTAGCAGCATTGAACTATGTATTGATTTATATATCTCGATTTTTTTTCGAAATTACTATACTACAAGATAATTCCTATATTACTGTAATACAAAACAAATAAACAAAATGAAATGTATAACAACATAAGATATAAAAATACGTTAAATAATACAATTTATAATGATAAAGACCATATCTAAGTTTAACGTATTTCAACCAATAGTGTTCCGTATTTCGATATACGTTTATAATGGTTCTTTCGAAAGCTCTTAACATATATTTAAAAGTTAGTTAGACTATAAATATGATAATGTTGATTCTGAGTTCTGTGACTGGTTTATTTTTTTGTGTGTGGTAAAATAAGTACGTAGGAAAATATATTACTCAATATAAAACGAAATCGTCATATCCACTTCCGTTATAGAACTTACATAATTTGTGTTTATTTTTGTCGTGATTTCCAGCTATTCATATTTTGATCATTGCGGTAAGATTAACTTTTCGGTTTTATGCTTATTTTTTTATTTGTAGACGGAGTCGCCATCTAGCGGTTGATCTTGTTTAAGCAACTGAGATTCAATTTTATAATGTTACTAATATTAATTGATTTATTTTACGTTTAAATTAATAAAAAACTATTTATTAATAGGATAAAAAATACAACTGCTGACCTTCATATTATTTTATTTTTTATGAAAGCTCCATCTATCGAATTTCATAAAAATTTGTGAGTGTAGACTTTATATCGACATTTGGACATACTAGATGGCACCACGCATCACAACTTCACTCCGTCTTTGCTTGAAAACTGCGGAAGTTGAGCAGAGGCAATAACTTAGTAACTTGTTCAGCTGAATTGTAATTTCCTTGGAGTTTGTTGCCAATTGATTCAATTTACATAATGTGACGGAAACCTGTGCTCTTTTTTTTCGTATCTTTCTTTCATAGATTTTTCATTCATATAGGTATTCAAGTCCTGATGTCAGATCGGCAATTTGTTTTTTGAAAATGGTTCGCGAATGTCTTTGAAGGTCGAGCTAAAATTGCGTTTGAGTTTAATTGTCATTATAAACAGAGAATTAACTGGAATGAATTCTTTTTTAGTCTGATGTCTTTTTTATGTAAGTAAGATATTTGTAAGTAGCCAATGTATTTTGAAAAGTTGAATAATAGCTAAAAAGTACATGCGTAGAATATTCTCATTCAGAAACCCTGGAGCGTGCAAACATAAATTTGATGCTCATGTTAGCGGTCACATTGTGCCCTGGTTATCCAAATTGGTCAGAGTTAGTCTTTGAAAAATTTCCTTTTAAAAATTGCCTTTATGGTCCTTATGTATGGTTGTGTGTTGGCATCTAACTTGACTTCTTGGCGAGGACCCCAGGAGAGATGTTGTGTGAATTGTTGTAATAGTTAAATTAGTGTTTCCGCAGGATAAAACGCATAGTAACAGTGACTTATTAACCATCAGCATTTATGAAAGTGCACAAGTGTGGGAAAATGAAACAAAATCGCTGGTCGTAGTTTCTCGAGTTCCTCTAAAAAGTTCACTCAAGTCTCAGTAAAAATATCCACCATTTAGATATTTTTGACGAATCATTTGTACGTCGGTATTTCTTGTTTTGTATAATTAATAGTAAGAATAGAATAAATAAAGTTCATTAGCTCCCCTCCGCTGCGCATCAATTGGAACACACCGGGGTGCCGATTGTTAGAATCAAAATTAATTTCTTATCATAGTATAGATAGTGGCAAAGGCCTTATTAAATAAATAGCACTCAAAATTGTCACATGATTGAAAAATTACGTCATTGAAGTCTAAACGCTTCCCGCGATAACCCCAACGCGTGGACTGTTCCGAGTGAGAGTCTCTGGTGTCGAGTGCTTTCGAGTGGCAGACTGATAACAGGCCGCGTCCGGTCCAGTGCTCAAGATCGGTCCGATACTAATCACTCTTAACTCACGTGAGAAATGTTTCGTTGTCTAATTCCAAACACTGAAACGCAATTAATATGACTACATTTTGGAGGCTTCATAGCCGTCGGATTATCCGATATTGCTTTTCGATGTTTAATCTTAATTAACATCAATTATTTGAGCCGGGAGCGAAGCCAGAATTACATTTATCAAATGGGCTTACTCGAATTTCTATTAGTTGCTCGTGAATCGTAACACGCTAATATCTTTGCACGGTGTCCACTGAATTTACCTATCGTGTTCAAGTTCGTGTGTTATGTGGTGTAATGATATTTATACAATTCGTTACGAGTACATGCGGAAGCTAAGATTTGCTGCTAGTCGCTAAAGATTAGACGGCGGTAGATGCTTCTGTGGTCGCCCCCCTCGTCCAATAGTCATTGTACCCAAGCCAGCGGGAAATTTTTAGCTAAAAAAACCCTCAATCCCAATCCATATATTTAATCTCAAACACAAAACCTTTAATTAAATCGTTTTAATTTTATCATAGTTCACAAATACTCAGCAACAAGTATTACAAAAAAAATGGTAAATTTGCGATATAAGTACCCTTTCAAAACTTTTGTCCATAGTTTGTTGCAAACAGATAGTTTAAGATACATAATAGGAGGGATATGATACAATTTGTTAACATTGAAAAAACGGTCAACTAACTTTTGTTACTTGTACAAAGAAAATTTGTAAAAAACTCCTTCATCACATCCAATTTCTAAAAATAGCCTTTAGACCCGGAGCTTTAAAGTCTAATATGATTTATAGGCACACAACACCTTCATTTAACGTAAAAACTAAAAAATCTTAAAAATGATACTTAATATCATCAAGACTAATGTCTTCAATTTATCGTTAAATACAATACTGTGCATGTCGGCGACACGCTAATTTAATCAGGCCACAAACTGACACCGATCACGCGTCTGATTGTGAGTCATTAGTAGTTACAGAATATCTCCATACATAACACAGTCCAGCCCCTCGGTTCTGCGACCCCAAACCTCGTTCACAAAATTTCATTGTAACGTCCCTCGAAAATGGTCGGTAATTTCATTGCGCTAATCCGGCATGCAACGCTCTTTGTGAACAGTGATAATGGGAAGTCTCGTTTTTTGATTTGCAGGGATTTCGGCACCGGTGCAGAGCCCTAGGGCGTCGGGAACTCTTTGTTGTGCACCCTTGCGACCTATGCTATGTTTAATTAGCGAACGTGGATTTTAGTGTCCTTGCGAGACCTAGCTTCGAATTCAATGATCGAATTATAATTCGATTTGAATAATAATCAAAATTCAATAAAAATTATTGTGACTAGTTTTTAAAAGGTCAAGAAAATATTTCGCAAGTTTTCGTTTTAGATACGTTTCTTCTTTCAGTGGTGTGGATTGGTAGAGGCCTATGTCCAGCAGTGGACGACTGTGGGCTGTTGATGATAACGTTTCTTCCTCAATCAGTTTCAATGTTTGACTAGGGATAGGGAATAAATAATGTGAGCCCGCACCGTTAGTTACTACCACTTTGCCTATTTTTACCGTAAAGCAGTTATCCATTCTTGTTGTCTTGTTTTAAAGAGACGGACAAACCGCGTAGGTACTACCCAATTGAAATTTCGACCTCATGTGTCAAGATGGGTCGTGATATTCATTTTGTGATGTCTTTAGGCTCCAATAAGCGCTTAACACTAAATAGGCCGTGAGTTCGGTCACAAGTCTACAAAAAAAAAAAAAAACTCTCTATCGTCAAACGTCATTGCCTTGTGTTTATATTTGTTTTGTACATATATTTGTTTACATTTAAATGCAAGTATGTCGGAGCAAATACAAAAAAGATTAATAAAATATGAGTTCAAAACTCACCTCAATTCATTTCAATAAGTTATAACGCAGCAGTACAATACCTCCGCAGTAGCATTGCATCATAAAATATTAAACCCTTAATACCAGTTAGTTTACGTTATCATTGCTGCTGTGACCCATGGATTGGTTACAATTTTCTATTTTTGTCGTAAATCAATAAAGTTTTGCTGCATAACGATTTGAGTATATTCAGTGTAATATCTTCAATCTCACGATACAAGGCGGAGGCGTTTGTACTGCTAAACATAACCGCTTCGAACCAAAGACACTAGTCCAATCCATGTATACCTAACTAGAATAAACAATAAAAAATAAAACTATCTCTAGTAACTTATTGGGGACGAACGTGATGGTTACATTTAAAGAAGATGACTTGATCATCGTTAAACGAATAACGAACGGGTCTCCGTACTTCTCTGAATTTCAGGCGATCATATCACCAACCCATCTGGGTAATTATATCATATGGTCATTGAATACATAAATAATAACAAAACTCGCTAGAATATCATACGACCTCATGGTGGTAAGAGGGCACCGTCGCTAAAGGTTGCAACTACCGAAACAGCACTTTGTTTAGCTCCGATTGAAAGTAATTAAATAATCGACTTAATCTAAATACGCTAAAACTCATGCTTACAGAGTTATCGGGATTGTCAGAAGCTATGAATGGATCCGTGAATAGTTTTCGTGCAAAATGTATATCGAAGGCGGGACCAATCAGCTAAGTGACGCGCACAAAGTGTGATGTATCATTTCGTAAAGGAAAACGAAGTTTATATACCTAATACTTTAATATTATTTTGAACAAAATGTCTCCCTCACACGGACAAGTAAACGGAATACGGCTTCATTATGAACTGTAACAGTTTTGTTTTAGAAAAAAATTATTACTTTAGGGGTGTTACTCCGTTACTTCTGTGCCGATCAGTACACCTAAAAGTAGATATATTTTTAACATAAAGTGACACATTGTTTTTATTTTGTAACAAATTAAACTATAGTAACTATGTAATTCCAAAAGAGGAGACCTTCCGAGAAACGTTTAAATATTATCTCGCTAAAACTCGAGAACGGTTGGACCGATTTGACTAATTTTGGTCTTGAATTATTTGTGGAAGTCCAGAGAACGTTTAAAAGGTA